ATAATATGTATATATATATATATCAAATAATTATTGAACAGTTTGGATTTTGAATTCTTTTGACATGTTTGGCCATGTAACCAATGGTGGAAATCATCATTTTCCCCATTTCAGTGGCCATAAATTGGGCTCAACTCCCCCATTGTTCCATAGCATGACCGCCATCTCCCAGCCAGGAGGAAGATGATGACGATGGAGACGAAAAGGTAACGATCCCAAGCCTCTACCCTCCAGTTATGAACGATTTGCCAATGGAAACTTTGGACACTTACCCTCTGGTAATTTAACATAGCTATTGAAAATTGCCGTTTATAAATTTTATGATTTATTTACCCATTGAAAATTATGATTTTCCATAGTTATTTGCCAATGATGATTGGGAAATTGATGAAAGTTTCCATTGGCAAATCCTTCACAACTGGGAGGATCATCGTTCGTTATCTACTAAGTAACGTACCCGTATTTTTTTTCATTTCTAGATGATCCTCCCATGAATTTCCGTTCAAAATTGCGATTTTCCAGCTGGTACATATATATATATATGTATATATATATTATATGAGAATAGATTCTAGAATAGATGAGTACATTTATCACCATATGGGATAATCACTTATTAATATCACCATATAAATATATGTATCATGGGATATAGAAATTATTCTATCACTGATATGTCATTATTTATATAGGTATCTATTCATATGGGATAATCCTGATACCTATATTTCCCATACGTTTTCCGTTAAAAAAAACAGCGATTTTCCCAGATTTTCCCGGCATCGCTGTTTTCAAATCGCGTTGCGAGGCGAAACGCGAAAAGAGAAACCGTGGAAAGAAGCGTCGTTGAGGCCCAGGTTTCACTTGTATAAATGCTACGTATAGAAAGGTGTACATACCCTCTGGTAAACTAACATAGCTATTGAAAATGGCCATTTATAATGGATTTTCCCATTAAACATGGTGATTTTCCATAGCTATGTTAAATTACCAGAGGGTATATATATCTATATATAAATGTAGGTGTGTAAATGATACTATATAAATATACATATCTATATATAAATGTATAGACATTTTCATGTATATACATGTGATTCCCATAGTGATTACCATATATATATATATGTATAGACATACATACATATGCTTATGTATTAAACAAACCCTGCTCTGCCTCAACGGCTAAGATGCTCCCCCAGGCAATGTGACCAGTGAGAGGCACGAATTCCATGGGCCCCAGGTGCCCAGGTGCCAGAGTAGAAGCGCCAGCCGATTGGTGCGACATCAGAAGGATTATGGGAAAATGATGGAAAATGCATTGACTGGTCTTTAGTGCCTGAAGTTTTTTATACATAATCACAGGAAGTATGGCATTTTATGTATTCTTACCAATGCAGGGCAAACCCCCTGACAGCAAACCAATGGTCCAAAGGGCCGCATGCCGATGGACAGAAGTCAATGCAGGCACATGAGACGACAAAAAAGATGTGCCAATCTGTCAAGTTGTCAGAGGAAACACCATGAAATCTCCGTTGTGATGCAGAGCTGATGCAATCCGATCCTGCAGCCTCTTCTAGAAGCGGATAGATATGGCCATGTGATCAGTTGGAGCACGGTGATCATCGGAAACACCACATCTACTTGCGAAGAAAGAACAAATGCAGGATATAGCTGGATATGGCACGATCCCGAAATATCGGACCTGTTTGAGGACTATTTCGAGAGTTGCAGGCCCCATGTCTTCGAATGAATTAAAGAGGTGGTCATGTCCACTTCAGCCAAGGAACCAAGGATAATAATATATGGAGATTGGTAAGTTTAGTGAGCTTGGTCCATTGTTGGATCAAGTTCCAAAAAAGGTACATCACAATCATCACAATCATCACATACCTACCGTACCTACCCAGCTATTTTGGTAACAGGCGGGTACCAGGGTGAAACTGACCCATACCCTGCCGTGCTCCATGCGTCGCAAGACATCCGCGAAGAAGTCCCTTGGTGCAGAAGCCGTGGATGCCGTGGATGGGGAGATTTTCAGTGGTGAAACACACAACATTTTGAGTGGTTCAATGGCCACGGTGCTTCAGCCCCTTGAGCGATGTTGAAGAAATTTCCAGACGAGTTCTTGAACATGGTTAACACTTGCAACCAAGGTTAGGAACATTTTATATTTTTCCATATATTGGGAAGAAGAATATTTTTCAGAGGGTTGAAAACTGAACATGAAGGTTAGACTCGTTCTTGAATTTTTCTTGAGATCCGAATGGATATGTGGCCACCAAACCAGCTGAAAGGGCTGCAGAGACGATCAAGAGGGTATGGATTATCTATCTTTATAGCGTTTATAGTAGATGGTTTATAGTAAGAAAGCATCCCATGTTTCCTTATCCACATTTGATGCATTCTCATCTGGATTTCTTTCGAACTAAGTGTTCGCTTGATGAACTTGTGAGTGATATCCCATCAAAACTTTTGAAGCCTTTTGGGGATCTGATTTTTTTTTTTTCTGGGGAGCAATCTTCACCCCGCTTAGCATGAAACATCACAAAGGTTTCACCATGATTTTCGGAGAATTTGGAGGATGTTCACACATTTACCCGCGAGCAATCCAGAGATTTCCCCCGCCAATCAGAAGTGACAGGGATGCTGAAGATGAGCTTCAACTTCAACAGAAAGCCTGCGAGGTGAAGGTGGGCCTTTTTTTTTTTTCGTAGGTATATTTGCACATGTTCATTGTATATATATTGTATATATTGTATACACCCAGGATAGGAAGAGTATACCAGTATACCATCCAACAGTGGATTAATGATCATAATCATGATGATTGTTAATCTTAATGATTATTATTGATGACTAATGATTTGTTAATGATGTCAGTGATGATGATGATGATGATGATGATGATGATGCTGGTGATGATGATGATGATTATGATGATGATTGTGATTTAATGATGATTAACATTGAAGATATTTTTCAGAGATGATGTGAAAGTGCCCCTTTGCTGTCACTGTTTCAGGGAGCGGTTGATCTGGTCTCTGAGTGTTTGCTGAACATCCTGCTCTTCCGACCAGGCAGCGGCAGCTGGGGATGGGGGCACTGTCAAAAATGGGTCAAAAATGGTGCAAAGATCTTCCAAAAATGCCCAAAATGGATCAATTGATGGATGGTTTGATGGAAAGATGGTGAGTAACTGGATTTTTTTCGCCTCAAAAGTTTGACCCATTTGTCATCACCGTAACTCAACCCGCCATTCTGATTGGCCGATTTCAATGATGTCATCGTGACAATGTCCTCCAAGGCCGGGGTGCGGCGTTAGGGGATGGATCGACCGAAAATGCGATGGCTGTTTGGCGAACATCTCATATCAATTTTATCTAATTTTATGATATTTTATGCATGCCAAACACTTTCAATGCAGAAACAAGATGAAACAAGCAACACAAACAACTTTTCAACACATTTTCTACACACTTTGCGAATTCCGGTGATTTTGGGAAAATCGAAGGATCTCAAATTGGCCAAATGTAGCTCCCATGGCATCCCATGGCATCTTGGCCCAAAATCCGAGTTTCGAAATGCCTACGATGATGTCACTTGATGGCAGAGGCAGTGCTGAAGTGTGTGCTTCACCTGAATTTCTGTAAAACATCTTAAAAAACCATGATTTGGATCTGACTTTGCATCTGCGTTCTGTTTGAAGATTTGTTCATCTTCAGTCGTCGACTTCAAGGTTCAGCTTCCAGACATTTCATCATAGTTATAGGTGAACTCACATCAACTCACATCAACTCACCAGCTGAGGTCACATGTTGTCGGCCGCAGCAGCTTCCAAGTTCATTGCCGGCCAAGTACCATGGTTACCAGAAGGGAAAAGCAGCAGAGCAGCAGCTTCCACGTGTTCTGGGGGTCCCCCATTTTGATCCATTTTCTACACTCCCGTGGGGTTACCCCATACCAGGCTAAGCCACGGTCAAGAGCAGCAGAGTGATTCGCTTTGCTACCCCTGGGGTTGATGTACAGCTGCGACATCCCACCTTCCCAAATTGGGTTTCAACCCCCGCAGCCAGCCCCGAAAAACCATCGAAAAACCATCACCCGTTCGCGACGTGTCGCCAACTTCGCCAAGTTTTGTCCATCAGATTCCGTCCTGGGCCGTGCCGGATGCATGGTCCCTAGTTTTTTGCACGCAGACGACCAAAGCTTCTCGGCTCTCAAGGGGGGGGGGAAACCAACTGTGGACATGGCTATGGTCAATAGCTGGCAATTGGATGTTCATCCCCCCCAAACATGGTACCCTCTGGTAAACGTTTACATAACGAACTTGAAAGATCCACCATTTTGTAGCTGGGTAAATCCACTATTTCTATGGCCATTTTCAATAGCAAACTGTAAACGTTTACCAGAGGGTATATATTCTGAACCACCCACATATCTGGAAATGCCAGCTATGACTTTTCTGCGAAACGCAGCTGTTTATGTTTTGGCATACGATGGCATCTTTCTACCATATTCGAATTTTCCCGATCCGCAATGACAATGACCAGATGAATGGTTTTGGAATGTTATGAATTTTGGATATAATATATATATATATACATATATGGATATATATATACATATGGATAATGACCATATATTATTTTGGAGAGCCTTGGCCCCAATCTAAATGTCCAGCTGGCACGGTCAGAGGGCTTGGCGATGTGAGGATCCAATTAGGCCGTCAGGGTCAATCCGAAGACCCCAGAAAGCTGATGAAAGCTGTGGGTCGTTGTTCATCATGCAGCAATGTCTCATCATGTTGCTGCCATCACTATGGCAAGATCTGTGATATATATATATATACATACATATTTATATGTATATATATACACATATATATATACACATCAAGTACATACACACACACACATATATATATATATATACATATATGCACATCTATTATCCAGCAATCCCCGGTCCTTTTTTTGGCGCATCGCTGAAGGCTAACGATGGCGTCCGGGTTTGAGCCCTCAGCTGGGTATTACCATGATGGGGTGAAACCCCAGTCACCCATAGAGCGCCCCAGTCACGTTGGGTGCTCTAAACTTATGGTTGTATGGTTGTTTCAAGACGAAGATAGGACACAAACACTTGGATGATGGGTACCCCATGGTACAGGAAACACATATACGGGATGTACCACCTAGTGTTATGGATTTTTCGCTCTTCTTGCAGTGAACAGCTCCAACCATGGGAAGGCATTCTGCCTCTCTGATGATCTCAACTGATATTTTCACTCTGTTCAGCATGGGTACCCTCTTGTAGCATAGCGAACTGGAGCATCTCCATGAACAAAAATGGTCATTCAACGAACTACATCACCATTTTCAATAGCTAACAGCAAATCAAATGACCGGTATTTCCATGTATTTCCCACATGAAATCCGCATTTTTGGTTGTTCATCCCCATGAAGTTTCCCAGGCAGTTCATCCATCATCAGGTCAACTGGACTGCCTGCGTTTCTTCGTGATATCAGCCGGGATCTTGTGGGACCGACGCTGGAGAATTCTTCAGGAGATATGGAACATTTTGATACCAGATATGAATTTGATATTGAAAAAGGTGTAGAATATATATATATATATGTATAATATGGAGTAAATATGGTAATATGATGTATATATATATATGTATAATATATAATATGTATATATAGATAATGGTATTTGATAGGGATATGGAGTAAATATGGTAATATGATGTATGTATATATATATATATGTGATATGATATTAGATATTGATTCGACTATATTGAAACTATATTACCCTGATTGTTTCACCATTTCATACCTGAACCCATCATCCCAAGCTCATTAGTATCCCTTATCCCAGAATTGGTTTTATTTAAGTGAACATCTACGAAACCATGGGAAACCCTATGATTGAACATTGAATTCCATAGTTTACTATTGCGTTGATTTTCACAAATTAAATTTGGTGTATGGAATGCAAAAAACATATGTGGTTTCCTTTTGTGCAAATTCCGTGAACCAATCCATACAAGTAACATATGAAGGTTTCCTAAACTGGGGAACAAATTTTATCCAAAATCAAGTGTTGATTTTCGGAAGGGAAACCAAAGTCATAAACAGTTAGCCTCTGGTAAACAGCCACATAACTATGGAAAGATCCACCATTTTGTAGCTGGGTAAATCAACAATTTCTAAATGGCCATTTTCAAGTTCGCAAACTGTAAACGTTTACCAGAGGGTAACCATCACCATTAACCATTATTAACCATTATTAACCTATTAACCATCATCAATCAGCATTAAACACTACTAACCACCCTTCAAAAGTTGGGCTTTACCAGAGGGTGAAGCCATCTCAGGTGGCCTTCAAATTGTCTACATCGACCCCTCGAAGGAGGCCTTGCTTTTTCCCCTTGGCCGGGCCGGATCTGGTGATGTTTCTGCCGAATGGATGGGATCTGTTGGTCAAACATGTGGTAAAAACAATGAGCATCAATGAAGCATCCCGATTTGGACCAACAATTTTCTAGAAATGGCTGAAAAACTCCAAGAGATCCAAATTTCTATAGATATGATACGATGTATCATATGATCACAGATGTATTACATCGTATTGAGGTCATATGAGGCAAAACTTGTAACATCTAACTATCATAGGATATAAAGTAAGTTTATGGAATATGAATCAATATGAATCAATATGAATCTAGCTATACTATACTTCCAACAATGATCCTTGTTTTATTATCTTCTCGCCTTGGCCTTGAAGCTGCCGCTTCGCAGGTCCTGGACATTGAGACAGAAGGCCGCGAGGTAAAGGCGCTGTTCATGGGATGGAAAGGATACTTTTGGATACTTTTGTCACATGATAATCCTGGAATATTCTTATATATTCATCATGATAGTATTATTATATAAAATTTATGTAATTAATTATTTATATTAGCCTCTGGTAATTTTTCACATAGCTATTTTGAAAATGGCGCAGGAGGAAATAGTGGATTTTCCCATTTGCCCACTTGCCCAGTGTTGCCATTTTCAATAGCTCTGTTACATTACCAGAGGGTAGTCACATATAAATCCTGGAATCCTGGGTGGTAAACTGGTGGAGGTTGCCGGTTTTGAAAATCTTATTGAAGAATATGTTAGTATGGGCCAATATCCACAATACCATTATTTTTTCATGATTGTTATCATTATTATTATTGTTCTTATCATTATTATCATGATTGTTATTGTCATTCTTATTATCATTATTACTATCATTATGGTTATCATTATAGTTGTCAAAAAAATATTGTTGTCATTTAGATAGATCTTATTATCATTATAATCACTGAATTCTTACTATTATCATACTATTATTATGTGTTTTTATTGCCCTCTGGTAATTTAACATAGCTATTGAAAATTGCCATAGAAATAGTGGATTTACCCATTAAACATGGTGATTTTCCATAGTTATGTGGCTGTTTACCAGAGGGTAAAAATCACATCCCATGGTCCCATGGCCATCCCAGCCGCCAGGTGAAAGTTGCCACATGGAGCCCGGACGGACAGCTCTTGGCTTTTGTGGATCCCAATGAAGGAGTTGGTGTCCCTCGGAGCCAAGAACCAACGCTGATCCAACGCTAGATTCGTAGATCCCCCATTTTTGGAGACATCAAAAAGGGTGCTATGTATATATATATATATCTAGCTACATATATATATATATATATCTAGCTATGTATATATTATCTATGTATATCTCTATATATATATAAGTGATTCATCTAGCTACAGATAGGGGATACTGATCCATGATATTTTCATCGTTGGAAGCTAAACACACAGCCAGGACATCTTCCAGGATGTCGGTGCAGATTCATCCCATAGAAACCATGCCAGATTTTCCCATAAATGTGGTCATCCGCCGTAGGATAGACCCCTTTTCTAACCAATCCCTAGTGGTGGAATGACCGCCCAGGTTGCTACTGTGGAGGAGGTTGGGATTTTCAGAGAAATTTCATGTAGTCTGATGGTATTACCCTCTGGTAAACTAACATAACTATGGACAATCACCATTTTTAATGGGTAAATCAACTATTTCTATGGCCATTTTCCACTAGAATGTCATTTGTATAAGGAGTTTGACATGCCAAAGGAACGGAGAATTCAAGACCAAGACCTTTGTGAAGAGCACTGGAGGTTAGCCCACATAGCATACCCCTTTATACAGTAAGTCGTGTATACGTTTCATCATACTTACATGTAAAATTTTGTACATATGCACTATAAGTACATAGTATATATATAATATATACATTTGTTATGCATATTAAGCTTTTCATAAGCGGTGTGTATTTGGAACCCCCCCATTTGGAGCTCTATTTTGGTAGATTCAACCGTTTTCCATTTGCACAGGCGCGCCTTGAGATGAACATTCTTCCAGGCTGATGGGCTTCATTGAAAATGACAACAGCAGGTCCATAGTTTCTCCAAATATTTCACCAACTCAAAAGACTTAGGTCGAAAGCCCAACTTGGAGTGGATCTTTTTTTTGAGTTGGTCATATCTGATAAACCCAATTGATCCATCAATTTTTTCCCTTCAATGTTTGAGTAACAAAGCGTTTTAAACGATGGCTTGGTACTCACCATGGATCCATTGGTCGCCAGGAAGCTCCAAGTCGACCGTGGGGATCTATTGGCTCGGAGCCCAGCTTCCGGGAAGGGCTTTAGAAGTTTGGGAAATAGCAAAAGAGGCCATCCATTCCAAAACTATTGGGAAGTTTATTAAGCCCCAAAAGAGGCCATCATGGCCATGAGAAGTTTGTTAACCCCCAAAAAAATGACAATGAACGGTTGCAACTTCTCAAAGTTGCCCATCTTCCTTTTTTGCTCAGGTCGCCCTTGGGTTCGACGCTTGTGACAGTCTCTTTGCATCAGATACCTGGCATCGGAAGGGGCAGGTAAAAGCACAGGGCTGTCGTGTCATAATGACGTCAGTTGTTGAGGCTAGAGCCAACCATGATAACAACATATAACAAATAACATGTATGACATGTATGATCATGATTTGTAAGGTGTGCTTTATAAGCTTTTCCGCACGGAATTTTTTGGTGCTTCAAAAGTGTTTGGGATCATCAAACAATCACTGAGGAAAGGAAGCTCGGAGTCCAATCTCCAATTATGGAGGAAACGGCTCAGTTGGATGGGATGATTGACTGGATCTTTCGTTACGAACATCGCGGCCTGGATTTTGGACATCACGAGGGGTTCATATCGCAAGGTGCTGTTTTGAGGAGTTATCCATAGATGTCTTCAAAATGGATAAATCTACTCAAATGGGATATATATATATTCTGGGTAAATTATAACGATCTCATTGCAACCTCACTGGAATCATGGCTAGGAAGGGAAATCATCCCCAAATAGCCTTAATTCAGATTGGTGAATATTGTAATTTACCCATATATATATGATATATATATATATATGATATATATATATGATATATATATATGATATATATATATGATATATATATATGATATATATATATATGATATATATATGATATATATATATGATATATATATGATATATATCATATATATATATATATCATATATATATGATATATATGATATATATATATATATGATATATATGATATATATATATATATATGATATATATATGATATATATCATATATATATATATATATATCATATATATATATATCATATATATATATATATCATATATATATATATGTATATCATATCATATATATATACATATACATATATATATATACACACTTCGGAAAATCATTTGGTCCGCCCGGTGGCTGGTTGAATAGGTGCTCAGACCACCGAAAAAACCATGCTGGCTCCCGTCACAAATTAGCGGTGCAGTCATAGCTGTCTCCTCATCTGATTTCAGAGCCAACTCATGGATGACATGGAATGAAATGAGATACCCTCTGGTAAACAGCCACATAACTATGGAAAATCACCATTTTCAGTGGGTAAATCCACTATAAATGATCATTTTCAATAGCTATGTTAAATTACCAGAGGGTAGTCCGGATGTAGTCAATGAGGTTCTTTTCCCGATTTTCGGATTATCAAGGCAATTGGAATATAATGGGGCAAGTACCCAATATATAGTGGTCTTATGATTTGGACACCATATATCATGCCATTTCAATGTCATATGGGAAACCACTGGAATCCCATTTGGACACCATATATCATCCCAATGTCATTATGTACATTATTCTTAACAGATCATGATCTTTGCAATATATGAGATCATCATATCATCCCAATATCCATTATTTATCATCCCAACATCATATTTGCAATGGATATCATCCCAATATCTTATTTATTTGGACACCATATATCATCCCAATTGCATAAATATCCATTATTTATCATCCCAATATCATATGATGGATACTTACCATACATTGGATATTTGCAAGTAAAGATATAATAAAAGTTGGAATGGACAAAATGCATAAAGATCATCATATCATCACATTTACCATATATTCTTTATGCAATGCTAGCTGACTTTCCAACTTTTACAGATCCAAGCGATCCAACATTTGCATATCTCGCCATGGAATCCAATGGCGACCCTGCAAGCGCAGCGGGAAGACATCCGGCGACTTGGTCGAAAACAATGTGAAGATGTGGCTAGAAAAAGCCGCTGTTTGGCCATAGTATCCGTAGTTAAGTTGGGCTTAAAGCCATGTTTGTCTGGGATGTTATAGATGTTATAGGCTTGTAACCATGGAGTTATATCAACGAGTTATATCAACTAGTTATCTCAAGCAACTTATCACCCCAGCTGCACCCCATCTTTCAGGGTCAACTTGATCCAAAGGTTCGGGGCTGGACATTGCACCGGGTGCAATGTCCAATATCTGAAAATCATTTGGAACATAGGTAAAGCTTCCATAGATATAACATATATATATAGACATAACTAAATTCCATGGATTTCCTGATGTTTCCGCTTCACTTTTCGGATTATGCCATATAGAGATCCACAGTGACCGGCACTGAGGAAGCTCCTGGAGAAACGTGGTAATGGTGACCTGTACCGAATTCGGGGTTTTCCCGGCGATGGGTTTTCAACCCTGTGGGACTTTTTGGTGAAGTCCAAACTAGCTGGGTAGCTATGGAGCTATGGATGTTCATCCCCCCAAATTGATGCTACTTCATAGGGTTTGATCCATCAGCTAGGATCAAAGCTGCTGGTCCTGAAGAAAACTGGAAATCACCAGGAGAATGAATTCAGAAAGGTCTATAACTGACCTGTGATTTTTTCTGCACAGATGACATCTGGGTGTTTGTCAAGCTGGGGACTCTAGACCACCTTTCCGGCTCCAAACATCAATAAACAGATCAACATCTATTCACCATCCATAACCACCATCCATAGAATCCATAGCCTTAAATACCACAATCCACTGCACCACATTTTGGAGGATGATCAACATCCATGGCTACCATCCCTAACCAGGCGATTCCTCGGGACGGTACTCAGGGGTTGGTAAATGCCCCTCAAACTTTTTTTTTCACATCTGAAAAAAACTCATATCTGTTGGAGATTATATATGATCACAATACGTTTTTTTGAACCCCATAGATATCCATTTTTTTTGGGACATATATTATATATATACATACCCAGTCGATATCCATATGATGTATTTTTTTTGGTGTGAAAACTATCGACATCCTGAGGTAGCTTCTTCCGAGGATGGCGCAATGAATTGGATCGGGATGGGCTGCTGGAGGCGAAAAAAAAAAACCGGGCAAGGCTATCGAGGGTTTTAGGCGTGTTTTGATGGGAAAATATATGGGAAAATCATGGAACATCCAATTTTTATGGGAAGATATATAGGGAAATCATGGAAAATCCCATATAAATGGAGGTTATAAATGGGAATATATTTTTTTTAAAGAATGTGACGGCATTCATGGGAAACTCCCCGAAAAAGTGGAGGCAATGGGAAGATCATGTAGGAATGGCTGACTTTTCCAGCCATGGTTGGATTTTAAAGGGTAAATCGACTGGTTAGTACATCATGTTCGATATACAAAATAGCTTGACATGGCCATGAATTGGGGCTATACAGTATATGAAGATCATTTTTTTGGGAGCCAAAGGTAAACTAGTGTCGACAGGATATTCATAAAGCCAAAGGTTCATAAGCCATCAAGAATAATCTCAATATGAATTCCCCCAAATGGCATATTGAATTATTTTCAAGATGGGCTATTAATATTGAGCGAAAGGGACACATCAACGGTTTGCACAGGGGGATGTTCAACTTGCTGGTACCGGCACAGCAAAGAAAACAACCCATTCCAACAAAACCATCTGAACATCTAAAAAACACCACTCAATTTACCCCAGTAAGTATAACCCCCCAAGACGTGTGGAACAGGTAACAGTTGGAAAGCTGGATTCCTAGGGTCAAACGAATCATATAATATCTGCCGCCTCCTGGGTTTCCACATCGCGGGGTGATGGATCCAGGTCCATTTCCAATCCTTGGCCAGCTTCGCAGCACGCCATGCCTTGAAACTGGATCTGCCGTCGCTGCTGCTTGGATCTGCTTGGATGAGATAGATAGGATTCACCGATCGAGCCGTCACCGTAGGCCATGATTACCATAGGGGTCACCATGCCAAATATAATAAAGATGATCCCAAGAAAGGTATGTGTGTGTATATATATAATATATATATAAGATGTACATATCATATTTTATTTTGGGTTTATTGTTGGGTGAAGAGTTACTTGGTGTTTACCAGCAAGTTTGGGAGTGGGAAAACACCCGAACTTGGATAAGTTTCTGGATCCGTTGGTATTATTTGGTATTCCATTTTTGAGCCGCCATCAGCTCTCCAGAAATGGAAGGGGCCGGATCAGCCACCCTCGTGTTTTTTTTTTCTAACTTTCTGGGGAAACCTGCAAGACGTTTCGACTTCGAAATGGGTCATGAAAAACTGAGGTTTGGTCATGACCGTGATCGAATGATCCCCTTGACCGACATCTGCCCGACACTCGTAGCTGAAAAAAAACAGGGACCTGGGATCGGTCCATAAATTCCAAAAGATACCGCAATGTCAGCAATGTCAGCAATGTGGGGATGGGTCAAAACCCTGGTAGCTAGTGAACCCCAAAATAGCTGGTAAATGGATGTTCATCCCATTAAAAATGGTATTAATAGGTATTGATCCATACCCATGTCAATGTCCATTCCAGGTTTTTTCGAAGTCATCAAATCTGGTGAAATGGTTGTTTGATTTACTCTTCAGCTCCGAGGAAACGAGCTGCTCTGCTGGCTTCGCTGCAGGAGTTTGTAAAGCATCACTTTGGTGGGCCACTGGACGCTTGGATCTCGACTATCGATCGCCTGGTGGCCATGGTTCCACGGTTTCGGCAACGACATGGGTGAAGAATGTGAAGAGACAGCAGAAGTGAGTACAAGATGTACAAAGTAGTGCCCCCCAGTTACAAGTCAATTTATGAACCACAACCCCACTAATCATAGATATCTACCATAAACCCAACAGTTGCGCTCAGGGGATGGTGCCAGAAGGCGAGTATCAAAGTCGTGAAGGCCGGGAAGCAACAATTCATGAGGGGCGGCGTGGGGAACCCCCCAAAAATGCTGTAGCTGATGTTTGTTCAATGTTGATTGTTGGGGTTGTACACTACCACTTCGACTGGGAATTGAGTTCTGCTATCTTTTTTCCCGGATTCCATAGGAATCCAGGTCCATCGAGCCCTGCTGATTCTCTGCAAATTTCGTGGAAAACCACCAGAATTTGATGGTTTATCATCACCACAAAAGTGGCCATTTTGGAGCTTTGCCACATTTTCAGACATACCCAATTTTTTTCAGCGAATCCCCGTTGTTGATGACTAATCCCCGTTACAATTCCTATAGTTGATGGGAACATTCCATGATATCCGTATTGTTTACGGTTGAAAGTTGAAACACTATGGTTGTTTATAGTTGATTGGCATCCCTATGATATCCCCATCTATTGTTGGTTGGATACCATTCTTGTGAGATGCAGAACGGTTTTTGACCACCCAGCTGTGTTCGCAAAGACGTTGAGGCCTTCGACGCTTGTGGCAGCTCAGAGGTTTTAAGGTTTCAGAGGACCAGTTGTGCAGGGAGGGGAGCTTCCAGATACCCTCTGGTAAACCTACAAAAAACTATGGAACATCACCATTTTCTAGCTGGGTAAATCCACTATTTCTATATATTTCTATGGTCTTTTTCAATAGCTATTTTGACATAACCAGAGGGTATCCCAACATGGGAAGTTCAAGAGAAAAATGACGCTACCAACCAGGATTTTGAGATAGCCGTCCTCTTCAGACAGACTTTTTTTTTAATAGTGAGCTATAGAAGTAGTGAACCAAGTGAGATGCAGAATCCAAAACAATCGACCAGTAGACATGCCTTTTTTTGGCCCCCAGAAAGGACATTGGAGCAACATTGATAGCCCGATCATCGACCCAGGAGGATCTCCAGCAGCTACTGAGTTTCATCGATGTAGATGCGGCAGGTCGATCTTCTGAGACAGGGAAGTTGACTTTTTCTGCTTGGTGGTGACTGGAACCATGGAATTTTATGACTTTCCATAAATTGTGAATAATCATCCCAACTGACTTTCATATTTTTCAGAGGGATAGGTCAACCACCAACCAGTTTTTGATAGTGAAAAAAACAGCATTTTTGAGAAGAAAAGGAGAATACAACAGGGAAAATACTGGTATGATACCGGATGAATCCGGATGATATTGGTTTGTATACTTCATAGAGCAAACCGGAAGGTGTAGAAGAATATATAAATAAGAGAAACTAGAGAAAAAACAGGGGAAGAAAATACGGAAGAAAATCGAGGATCAATTAGGAAGGACATAGGAAGGAACAAGAAGAAGAATATCAGGAAAACATAGCCAAGAACATCGGAAACAAGTACGGGTTTAAAAACCATTGTATTAAGCAACCCAATGATTTTCCAGGAGATCCATGTAGAAGCTGGATCAGATCGCCAGGTGTGGCCGGGGAGGATTTGACCTTCCTGGAACCGGACCCTGTGGCGCGAAAGATCTTGGGAGTGCGGCTGCGGCAGAAACGACAGCAGCAGCAGCAGGAACTGTTGGCCAAAGCCTTCTCGGAGGAGTTTGCCTTGGGCGCTTGGGGAGGGTTTTTTTAGGGGTTGGTGGGTTAACCTGATGTTAGAACTGTTAGAAGCAACCTAAATGTGGACGTATAAGTAGAATACATGTAATATATATATATATATATGTACACATACACATATGTATATATATATATATATGTATATGTATATGTATATGTATATATATATATATTGTGGTTGGCTGACCACAGAGGTAGCAATTGGAGTTGACACACTCCCACAGCTGCAGCACGAGCGGACTCGCTCTGTTTTGGACACCACGGATGCTGAAGTCGCCAGTCAATGGCAAATGGATGCGAACCCTTCCAATCGGCACCAAGCGAAGCTGACCACAGCTAATGGCTCCAAGTCTTACGACCCTCCACTCCTACAACCCTGGGCTGGCCTCAGCCTGAAAGACTGCAGGTAAATGATCTTTGTTTCCGACCTGGATTCACCGTTGATTGAAAGATTGGAAATGGTTGCATACCTGGGCATGGAAACTGTAGAATTCACACTCCCAAAGAATCAAATCTCAAGTTGTTTTCTGGCTTTGCAACCATTTGATCCTGTTCCTTGCAGTCGCTCGATCTCTCAAGATTTGACTCTCATCATGCAATCTGTATTTTCCATTTTGAAGTGTATGACGTAGAAATGAACATTCCATTTCCTTTGTCAGTGCGTCAGCTAACTGTGCTCCCGAATGTACCCATCGCAGGCTGACGTTCTCAGCCAATAGATCCTTAATAGCTCTGGCTAAAATCTGAGTTCGAAATTCCTGGCAATTGGGAACTGCAGTCCTGGACACAAGATCGTAAAGTGACTTACAATCGGTTACAGCAACATCATCCTTAAGTGTGGCTATTGTCTCTGGTAGTTGTTCTAAGGTTGTCTTGGTATTTTTCCATTGTAGTTTTGGATTCATCAGCCAGCCCCAAAAGAGTCGGAGCCAGGATAGTTGATCAAGGGTTGAATTGAGTGAAGTTGCTTCGGCTGATAATGTGCTCACCACTACCTTCTGAATTTTCTTGCACCCCCAGGAGATTGGTGTTACAGGGCAGGTGACATTTTCTTTGATTTGTTTATGAGTGGTCATTATCATCATGCCAGTGTGTGAATCGGGTTGTTTCTTTGATGAGAATGAAGCGTCGGAGAATGCTAAGAAACGTATGTTGTCAACCTGGATTGGCTGGACAGTGATAGTGGTATCTTTATATCGCTTGGCATCGTGAAGGACTTTATTGGCCTGAATTAAAGTCTGCACAGTGGCTTGATTTACCTGGCTTTGCAGGTAGCTCAAACGACTTGCCAAGTCGGGGCGAGTGTTTACCGATGCGTACTGAAGAGACCCTATAAGGGCACGCAGGTCTTGTTTTTCCTTGTCATTCACAGAGCTTTCTGGTTGGCTCTTTCTCTCAGGTTGGACATGAATGGGTTCAATCTTGGATACATATTTTTCCTGTGACAACGTGATGCTGAAATCAGCATTTTGGTTCATCTCAATCCCTGTAAACACAAAGCTTTGATTTTTCTTGGATCCAAATGGATACTTTTCCTCCAGTTTTCGCAGCTGTTGTAAAAAGAAATCATTTCCCCCACATAGACCATCATCAACATGAATGCCAATGATCCCTGCTGGCTTCTGGCTACCTTCGGGATACAAGATGTAAACAGTTGGATCGAATGGAGATGGTTGGAATGACAGCTCCTTAAGAGCTTTGTCCAGCTCTTTGTACCACAAGTATGGGGCGTCGATCAGCCCATACGCCGATTTGTCTAGCTTACAAATTTCATTTGGTGATAATTTCATTGCGGCAATCATTTCTGGTGGAGGTTCAAGTCCTATGATTCTCCCTTGGGTGGATCCCTGAAGAAAGGCTGCTTTGATGTCAAATGACATTAAGTTCCAGTTCATGGATGATATTAACTGCAGGATCAACATACGCGATTGTCTTCCTAGTGTCGGGCTGTCTCTAGGTATTTCTTCCAGTGCTGGGTCTAAATAACCAAGGACTACCAGGCGTGCTTTGGCCTTTCGGGTCTTGCCAAGTTTGGCCTGCTCTTCAGTTGACTCAATCGGCTTCCACGTGTAAATCCACCGGCATCGCAGAACTTGTTCTGCTGGTAGTTTGTTTCGGAGTATGCGGCATACAGTTCCAGTGCTCAGCCAGTTGGCTATTTCAGCCCCTTTGGCCTTTTCAAACTCCTCATACTCACTTGCTGTTAATTGGCTCAGCTTGATTTCTGTTCTTTGCTTCTTACTGGCGGTGGCCAACAGAACTATTTCTTCAACATCATCAGGTGGCACTACGGACGGTATGTGTTTGGGGTCAACTTCAACCTCAAACCTCCAAGCAAGATCAACAGCATTAGTGAGGTGACATTGCTCATCAATGTCCTGACATAGGAGTAGATCGCAGACGAGCTGGTCCTCAGCACCAGGGTCCTCAATTGGTATCTTATATGGCTGAAGCTCTGTCTGTGCTGGTGGCGTTATTTCGGGGTTTTGTGGAGTTGTCTCATGGTTGCTATCTTGAAAATCTGTGGGACTCGTTGGTCTTGTGATGATGGTGGATTCAGGTTCAATATCGGGTTGCTCTTGAGACATCTGGGATGGTCTCCGATCATGCGTGCTTAGAGTAGGAAGATTATTAGTGGTTATCTGTGGGCTTTCTGCATTTGGTATTTCAGGAGTGCTATTATTTCTTGAGTTATGTTGAATTTCGGGATGGCTATTTGTGGGCATGGAGGTCACTAGCATATCATCCTTGATCAGCTGAGCTTCCAATGCGCTGACGGGCCTAATGTGTTCTGGAGCTGCCCTGATCAGTGTTCCGAAATGGCGACAGAACACAACACTGTTGCCATCTTGCTGAATGACCTTGGCTGGACCTGACCATCCTCGGTTGGTTTCGTTTTGCTTCCAAATCATTACCCATTCCCCTGGTGCATACTGTCCCCTATGCGGTCTCTCGCGGCGAAGAGCTGCTCTGCGAATTGTCATGCTGTTGTCGGCTGCATGAAAGGCTTTCCGTGCAGTTTCTCTTTGGGCTAGTTGTTGACGAAACAGCAAACCGTGAGATGACCCTTCTGAAGCAGTCAGGTGTGCTGGTAAATCATCATCACCGGTCAGAGAACCTGGCATACGGTGCCCTTTTCCGAAAACCAGCATGTCAGGGGAATAACCCCTTCTCAGGCTACAGCTATTCTTTGCAGTGGTGCACATCGTCAGGGCTCTCTGCAGTTCAACATAGTTGGAAATGCCGTGGTCACCTTCGAATTTTCTGAGCATGGCCTGCAGGATATCGCCGTGACGTTCTGATCTCCCCATCTGCCAGTGTGCATTGGGTGGAATTATAGTGCTTTTGGTGCCTAGTGTTTGGAGATATTTGTCAAAAGTCTCGGAATTGAATTCTGTTGCTGCATCAGCCATGAACTCATTTGGTGGACCTGCCCAGTTTACCCAGGCTGCATTCAACTTTTCCACTGCTTGTTCGGCAGTTCGGCTTGGTGCAACAACAGCAACATGGTAGTTGGTTCCATGATCTAAGAAATGGTAGAAGTGTAGTACTTTGCCATCCTTGTTAGTCCATGAAATCCCATCCACTGATACCTTATCCCCAAAATCAATTTCTGGCTTCAGATGTGCAGGTCTGGCTATCTTGGGGCCTTTCTGCATTTGGCAAACGGAACATTGGTAATCCTCCAGGGCTTGAATCATGGTGGCAGGGTAACCCTTTTGACGCAACACTTGTCCTAAGACCTGACGATTGGGGTGACCAAGGTTCTTATGTAATCTGGCCAGCAAACTACGTTCTTCAGCAGGTAGTGCCAAAAACTTGTGTCCGTGTTTGTGGCTCTGTACATCCACAGTTTCCCCTTTGGTTTCATGTGAGCTAGGCACGGCCTCCCTTCTGGCATGCTCAGCGGATGCACCTGAACCTACTGGCAAATCTGTCATAGCTGCCGGTGGTGCAACACTCTCTTCTGTTGGCTCTTCCGGAGCTGGAGTGGCTGCCTCTGTTGACGATGGTGTTGGTTCTGCTATCTGTGGTGTCTCTACTGGATTGGCTGCAAAGACTGTTATATTCACGTGACTTGCCTTTACTGGACGTGTCAGTTGGCGTTGTGATAAGTGTTGCCAACTTTCCCATTGGTCCTCCAGGACAATTTCATGAGACTCTCTGCTCTCTACTATGGCTCTCCGCAATGGGGCTTCTTCAGGCAAGAGATCTTTGGGTGGTGGGATGGCTCGTTCCGTTCCCTTGCATGCTACAATTCTCACAATTGTTTTATCAGGAAAAATTCTCTGAAACTGTGCAAATATGTTTGGATCTTGGACATTGGTCTTTCCTACTCTGGGAAGCTGTGGTTTTATATCTTGCAATATTTGTTGCAACTGTTGCAAAAGTGGTTCTGCGCTCTTTCCATCAACTCGACGGCGTTTATCCGGCAAGTCACTCGGCTTTACCAGTCTTGCAGGCAGGCGCTTCAGGCTTGGCTTGCTGGCTGAAGAGCGAGCGGTTTTGCTCGGCCGGACGGATCTATCTCCAGTGCTGGGAAACTTCCTTTTGGCTTCTGCGACCAGTGCTGGAACTTCATCATGAAAACCTTTTGGGTTGTCACCTTCAGTCTGCATCATGATCTTGGCTACTTGGCGGGCAAACTTGCGAGGATATCTTTCTGAAAATTCCGTTCGCTTCACACTCATCCCTTTTACCATGGTGTTTCCCTCCAGTGGTTGATGATCATGATTTTTGCGGCAACATCTTCCATGCAGGTTTTCAAACATAGTTCTTGATGTGGTTCGAATAGCCATGCTTTTCTGGATTGGAATTTGGGACACGGGGTCCCGGAGATCCCCCATCCTACACATGTCAAAATGAGCTTCCCATGTCTTTGAGTACAACTCTTGTAACAACGGTGTAGCAAACATGATTGACCTGCGCGGTTGCTCCCAATGGAGATGATACCCCAGCTGAAATTGATGACGCAGCAGCACAATGCCCAAGGCCAATTGATAAAACAGCTCCTGCCGCTGTTGTTGGATCAAATCAAAACTTTCAAGGGATCGATTGGAGTTAAAATTGCTCCATGCACTCCAAGGGCCACAAGTGGGACTAAACCATATGTTCTTAGGTCTGTACATCAGCACTTGCTCAAAAAGTTTCTGGCGACCCTCTTGCGTTGACAGATCAGCTTGATCCAAACTCATACGTTGGGCACCTTTGCCCAGGTTTCGCACTTGCTGGGTCAACTCACTGTTTGAACTGCAGAAAACTTCCATCAGAGTGATTTGTGGATGTTTGATTCGGAATTTCTGTTGCTGAACCTTGTCAAATTCCCCTTCAAGTTGAATGATCATTTCTTGAAACTGACGTTGAAACATTTGAGGTGCAGTGGAAAAATCATGCATGAAACACTCATCATAATCAATGTCCCCAGCATTGAGATGACCCATGGCTGCATCTACCTGATTCACTGTGGCTCGCGACGGACAAAGTTGAGGATCTCCGTCATCGCGTTCTCCATGTTGGTCATCCGGGCCTGCAGTGCTTCGATGTTCTCCTCGGTGCTGATGTTGCTGGTCATGTTGATCCATTCCTCGCTGCGAGTCTCGTCGGTCAGATTGACCATGAGATCGGAGGCTCGAGCCGGATGGCTGGGCATGGCCTTGGCTTTGGCACGGAGTGGCATCACAGGTTCTTGGCATCCCTGAAGGCCTCCATTTCTTCGAGGGTTGTCGGGGTCATCCCCTTTTCCTCCATTTCGATCATCAACTCGATGAATTTGAGGAACCGGATGTGTTCGGATTTTCCGGATCCCTCGTACGTCTTGACCACCCAGCGAACCCATCCCGGCTCTGTGTGCCACACCGTCAGATATGACTTCCCAGCATGTGCCTTTCCAAAGTCGATCTTGGCATTGCACATCTCCTCCCAGGACAGTTTCATGAATTCCTGGACTGGGTCGGCGTAAGTGCCAGTCTGGATGTTCTCGAGGCGCTTTGACAGGCTCATGTTTCACAGCGGCAATGGTATGTACGGCAACAGTTGGGACCACGGGAGACCACTCGAACCGGGATGCTAGAGGTACTGACATGTTACACTTTCCGGCTTCACTTGGTGTCTCATGAGTCTCATGTTTTCCCAAACTGTGATTGGTCATGGTCTGTGAAGGTTTGTCATCTGTGTTATGCGCATGTTTCTCTGCATTGGTGTCGTTATTGGGATTTTCATTATCCATCTCAACGGGTTGTGCTTCCAGAGGGGTGACATGTTGATCCCCTCCGGACTGACTTTCACTGACAAGGTCGGCGGCTGCACCAGTCTGAGTTTTTTCTGAACGGCTGTGTTGGTTATCGATATGTGCAAAAGTCTCGGCAATGCTGCATGACGAACTGGCAAACTTTTACAACAGATTCACATCAAGCAAAAACAACCCTCTTGGATTCAGTTTCAAAGGCACAGGTTGAGCTAACATGGGACTCTGCAGCAATTGGTTTGAGACATCGATCTGTGCTTTCAGCGTCCGAAGCAACGTGTTTGACAGCAACAACGGAGTTTGACCCCTAACAATGGCTATCTTCAAACCCAATTTACCAATCGGAACTACTAGAGCATCATGACTATCAAGGGTACCTTGGTTGCCAAAACGAAATGTCACAGCACATTTGCAACGGAAAACTCGCTTTCGGATATCTGGATTGAGACCTTTAAGAAGGTCAGGGATATGATCACTTCCAATGACCGACTTGGTGGCACCGGTGTCCAAAATTCCTAGGGTCTCACTGGCTGCAAAAAGTGCAAGCTCGGCATTTGCGAGCTCAGAGACCGGAAATGGTGCTCTCACGGCATGGATGCAAGGCTTCAGCTGGTTTTGCAACTCACTCCTTGGTGCAGGAGTGTTCCCCGATAAATGGCTTACACGGCATAACCCCTTATTCGCGTTACCATTATCCCCATTATCCCCATTTAGTTTATACCTCTTACCCCTGAGGAAAACTGTTGAGGCAAAAACTGTGTGCATACTGGGCTCATCGAGTGCTGTTTCAGTGATCTCTGGCAACTGCAAGAACTCGAGCGGCAGAAACTCATCGGCTGGGCTGCTTGCTGAGGCAATTGGGACAGCGGTCATGGTGGGGGCAGATGATTGACTGGAACTGCCACCTGATGATCGCGATCGCTCAGGGCATTCTGCTTTCCAATGACCCTTCTTGCCGCACAGTCTGCAAGACGTTTCCATCATCCTTTGTTGGAGGCTCTTTCTGGCTCCCTTAAACTGTCCCTTACCTTTTCCCTTAAAGGTCTTGCCTTTTCCTTTCGATGGATTCGTGGGCCAGAATCCTCGATTCTTGAAGCGCTCACTCAAACGGCGACGTGCGTCTGTGTACGCACTGTATGCTGTGGCAAGTTCTGAGTCCTCCTGTACAGTATCTGCCATTGCAGACTCATATTCACTGACAAAGCATGCATCTTCGTCGCCATCTTGGATCAAGGCCTCAATCATGTCCTCTTCGGTCATGTCCTCTGCTGCAAAGGCTGGGGTCTCCCAGCTTGTTTCATCGGGCTCTTCCAGTGTCAGATTGGCTGCATCATAGATACGTCCTTTTGTCTTCTTGGCGCCAACCATTTCTTGAAAGAAACCTGATCCCAGCATTCGGACTGATTGACTTACCTTTTCCATCGTGAGCTGACCTTTGCCCGACACATCACTCTCTAGAATTACTCTCTTCTTATCTTCATGACTCAGTAGAGATCCACGGAGAACAATGTAAGACCTCAGCTCTCCCAGATCCATCTTCTTTGACAGCAATTCAGTCCAGTAAATGTCTGCACGGGCAAGGAACGAATCGTTGGTTTCATCGGCCTTCTGAGTGCATCTGAACAAGGCCTTCTCTACTACTTCATATTTCTTCTCAAGGGACACTTTTCCCCAGTGTCCGCCAAGTGCGGTCACCAGGTTCTGAATGCCTTGCTTGCTATTGGTGAGTATTTCCGATTTCTGCAGTTGAAGCTTCTGAAAGGCGGCACCGGCTGCATTCAAAATCAGCCGGGTGGCTAACTCATTGAGCTTTTCCTCAGGCCAGATGTCACAAAGCATTTCTACCTTTTGTACGTACTGTTCAAGGTCGTCCTTGGCAGGATCAAATGCAGGGACAAGTGACGTCAACTGCGTGGGCACGGATGTGGTCGTGGTTGTGGCTTCACGGACATCCCCCGACATCTTTCACCAACTGTTCCTCTCAACCAAGCAAGCACAACGTTCAGGTTTGGCCAGAGTTTTCTGAAACTGCAATCCCCCTGGAGCTTCCGGTAGCTCCGCTACCAATGTGGTTGGCTGACCACAGAGGTAGCAATTGGAGTTGACACACTCCCACAGCTGCAGCACGAGCGGACTCGCTCTGTTTTGGACACCACGGATGCTGAAGTCGCCAGTCAATGGCAAATGGATGCGAACCCTTCCAATCGGCACCAAGCGAAGCTGACCACAGCTAATGGCTCCAAGTCTTACGACCCTCCACTCCTACAACCCTGGGCTGGCCTCAGCCTGAAAGACTGCAGGTAAATGATCTTTGTTTCCGACCTGGATTCACCGTTGATTGAAAGATTGGAAATGGTTGCATACCTGGGCATGGAAACTGTAGAATTCACAATATATATATATATGTATATGTATATGTATATGTATATGTATATATGTATATGTATAATTATATATATACACACATATGTATATATGATGTATATATATATATAATGTATGTATAATGTATATAATGTATATAATGTATATATTGTATATATTGTATATATATATATAATGTATATATAACGTGTATGTACAGATATACATATATAAATATCTTTACAGACCCGCAAATTTGTAGGTATTTTTCAGAAACTCGTTTTTTCCATGCATGTTGCCATATGTTTATACACGTACATAATCGTACATATGTATATTGAAAGAAGGGTTCTGCAAAAGATGGACCACACAACCATAGTACGAAATCCTCAAAGTAGTCTGGGACTCACCTTTCTATCATCAGGGACACACTTTCAGATCGATTTGGGAACTTCAATTTTGTTTGGGGGGATGCAGCCCAGCCACCGGCACAAAGGGGGAATGCAACTTTTCCAAAGATAGGGAGCCTGCAGGCAACCATGGGGTCACAATCAACAACAATAGCCGCGTTATCCACGAATTGTTGCAGTGCCACAGCCCTGTGTTGGTTGATGGTTACATGGGCTTATATCCAGAATCGAATCTATTCCAATTACTTTTTGTAGGTAAATCATCGATTTTCACTGGTATGTTACTACATATAGATTAGAATTCAACATGAGGGCACATTGTGATTATAACCCCTATTATGACATGTTAGAAACTATTGTTAATACATGGTTTGAAACCATTTATCCTAATGAATATATGTATATATATATATATAGAGCGCTGTAATGATCATCATAGTATACTCATATATATATAATTTTATGTCTTAATGGTTTCAAAGTTTCAATCAATTTATTCATGGTTTCACATGATAACACTATTATAATCTTATGACACCATCAACGCATATCAACGGTTTATACAAAATAAATACTCGTTATTATGTTTCATCCATCTTTTTTTAATTATATTACCATTAATATTAATGGTTTCCTAAAAATAGGGGGGGGTACTCCTTTTTTTCATCTGAGTGTCGTGCATGGTGACATGGTGACACCAGGACACCTTTGAGTTGCCTTCCCACCATCGCTTGGCCGTCCGTCCCTGGCATGCCTCAGCCTTTGAGACGCGACCATATAAATGAGAAGAACCCGGCGCGAGGTGTCTGTATGAAACATACTATACATACGTAGCGTGTATGTATGTACATATATTAATATATGTATGTATATATACTGTATATATATATATGTATGTATTGTGGTGTATAGTGTGTGTATATATATATATACACACGTATGTACATGCGTATGTGTGTATACTATAAGTATATATACATGCATATCTATATGTACATATACGTACCTATCTATATCTCCATGTTTGGTTCAGAACCCAGTGGCTCTTTGATTTTATGAACCACTGATGAGCCTCTTCCCCATGACCTGCTGCCTATACTACAAGAAATGGATGCCCACCATGAGATGCAGCAATGCAGCAAGATATGGCAAAGGGAAGAGTGCAAAAAATTGGCATGGTCTGTGTATTGGGATTGGTCATCTTCAGAGACTACAGGAAGCCGTGAATGCCCTTCCCGAAAGGAGCAGCGGGGTTCAGAGAATTGGTTGAAGGGAACCTTTAGAAGAACCCCCTGTATTTGGGTGTACAAGACATAGTTTCCAGTCTCCAGCTTCAATTTCCTGAAATCAATGCATATTTTTTCCATTAATGTGGCGATTTTTTCTCCAAATATTGGTGGTTAAATTTCTATATGTGGTAGTTCATCCATATTAATCCCACAAAAATTGCTGGTTGAATCCCTATATCATGGTTATGATGGATATTGTTTCTCATAGTGATATTCACACAATAGGGATTTTATATGATGGATAGGCAGGTTTTATATTGTTCCATTAAACAATAGTTTTTCAATAGGGATATTGATATAAACCAAATTGATGGTTAGTGATATAACTATGATATCATGGTTGGTGATATAAACAATAGGGATATTATGGAACAACTATTGATATTCAATTGATGTCGCCATGGCTAAGGAAAAACTACCACGGCTCCAGAACCAGCGGCAGCACCGCTGGCGCCGGCAGCACCGGCGCAGGAATCGACAGGCGAAGGAGTGATTTTTTTCGGGTCGCCATGGCTTACCCTGGCAGCTGTAACCTACATAACCCACGGTTAGGGATGTAATGATCACATATGTACCCTCTGGTTATGTCAAAATAGCTATTGAACATGACCATAGAAATAGTGGATTTAGCCATTGATAGCATGGTGATTTTCCATAGTTTTTTGTAGGTTTACCAGAGGGTAATCCACAAAAATCAACAACCGACTGACCGGGCAGACAAAGGGCATTCTTGGTAGGTGATATGGCACAACAAGGGTTTCATCTCTAAAATTTTTGTATGATAAGCCAATACATCCCAATAAATTCCAATAATAAATAGACAATTCCAGTAATTTTCATAGATTTACACATATATAGACATGTGGAAATAGATTTACATCAGAAGCTAAGATTAGTTAAGTAGATCCCAATATTCATCTCCAATGGATGTTACTTATCCTAACTATTATAAAATCCAGAGGATCTAGAAATAAATCCATTGGAGATAGTAAATCATCCCATAATCCAATACATCCAGAAATTTTTATCCCAATAATACTATCCACAATACTATCCATAATACATCCCATAATACATCCAGAGATTTTTCCATCGCAGCGGCAGCGCCAAAGCGGCAGCAGAGGAGCTCTTCCTGGCCCATTTGAAGGACATGAGTGGCACCTCGGCGGATCACCCACGGCGGCTACGCCAAAAACATGATGTCTCTGTAAAGCTTTAAAACATGTGGATATAAATATACATATTGAATCATATTGATAAATAAATATATATATATAAATAAATACATATACATATTACATATATATAATTACATATATGTATATATATCATTCTAAGTCTAGTTAGCTATAGCTATGGATATAAAGTGATATAACTCAGATATCACGACTGGCAGGGACTTTGAAGTGGTGGCCGAGGTTCTGTCGTGAGGGCATGGAGGATGAAACTGGACCCCGAGAACCGTGCCTTGGAGGACTGAAAAACATGTGGTTTCAATGGGGGATCCCCAATAGATGGATGGTTTATATTGGTTTATCCATATATAGTAATCCACTCTGAATAGTTAGTTATTAATGGTTGAATATGGACTATTAATCACTACTAAACCATGGATACCCTCTGGTAAACCTACAAATAACTATGGAAAATCACCATTTTCACTGGGTAAATCCACTATTTCTATGGCAATTTTCAATAGCAAACTGTAAACGTTTACCAGAAGGTATTTCATGGAAAATCTGGAAATTCATGGATCCGAAAATCCAAAATGGATGATTTAGGGGCTACCCATTTTAGGACACCTCCATATAAAATGTTCTTGGAACAATCTTGCAAGATAACTTAATATTTTTCAATCCATTTCAGCATCTTGTGATGTGACTTAGAAAAACATCTAATTGCGAATCTAATTGGATGTAACGGTGATTTTTAACTGTGGATGTGGGTCATTATCTACTGCTCGTTGCTGTTTGAGAACTGCCCAGCGTTCAGAAAGATATTCCGTGAATTTTTCCAAGGACTTGCGGTGCTGTTTCAAAGGATTTTCAATCATCTTCAGGAACTCCTCGGGGATCACGGAAGGTTGTGAAGTTCCTGAGGTTCATCAACACAGCCAGATTGTTTTCTGTGTGACCGAAATGTGAGGTTCCACCATGGATGAACAGAGTTTGAGGAGATACTGCTCCAAGGTGCGCGGCGCAGCAAAAAACACATGTTGGTGATGAAAACTTCACCCATTTGATGAAACTGGGTGAATTTTATGAGGGGTTTGAAGGTAACTGGTCGACATGGTCATATTTGGATTCCATTTCCAACCACGATTTGGCTTCTGCTATTGTTGACTTCCATTGGGCTATGGCCATTTTGATAACCAATTTGATTCCAATTTTTCACGGGGAAATCAACCAAAATTTGAGGCAGCTGTGCAGTTGGACGTTTCGGCTCTATGGCAAGCACTTGATGCTGCACCTTGGTGACAGATTTGAGAGGATTGGATACGATTTTTAGACTTGCACATATAAAAACTTGGGTTTGCACTGTTGGTTCTAACACTGGTAATAAAGGCCTTAATAGTTTGTCTTCACGGCTTCTGCTTGTTGGTTTAATTGTCTTCCCATCCTCATTTGCAAATCTTCTTAGATCACAATCGCACGTCCTGGAGTCCTGGACGGTCATTTTTCACCCAAGTTGTGGAGAAAATCTCCACAGTCCCCAGGGGGCCCAACGCTTTCCATTGGTTTCTGCGATTTCCCATATTTTTGCCATGACAGTTTCTCCCATTTCCTCACAAGAGATGCCCATCCCAGGACAAAGATGGGCAATTGCGTTTAGAGGTGCACCGAGTCACTGGGTGATGTGGTTCCAGGACCACAGGGACCAATGTCCATCCACATGTCTCGAATAAATCTGCGGGTATTTTGGAAAAATGGGTCTGAAAATGGGGTTTGCCCATCAAACAGCCTTTCTATGCCTTTCTAATCGGGAAACTGATGATTACACAATTACACATGACATTTGTTGAATATGTTCAGTTCAGACACACGCAAATATGAAGTTTTCCATGCTGCCAGGCGTGATTTCGGGACCACAGATAGAGAAGCAAGATGAAACATACGTGAAACATGCGAAGATCCAAGTACTACTGGTATAACCTGCACCGATCTGAGCACAGAAGAGGTTCAGAGAAAACATCTTCAGCGCATAAAAGACTGGGGATGTCAAGCCAACATCGACCATGCGATCAATGGGTGTCTCTTAAAATTGGAGTACCCGTCTTGACAGTTGATTTCTCCACATCAAAAATGACCAATTCATTTTGGGTGATACCTTTAGTCCCTATGTTTTCATGGGGGAAATCCTCATTTCATGCCATATGATTCAATATTGTGTTGTATCCCCAAATGATAAGATCCCGTTATATCCATGATTACTTCTGCTTTCATTATAACCATTATATTTGTATATATAGCCTCGTCCAGGCTTCTGGAACTGCGTAAACCTGAATTAGGTTGGTAAAACTTGTCCATTCCGTGACGAAATTTCGTCGCGGAATTAACAAGTTTCATTTGGGTCATGTTCATCATCATCATCATCCTCATCATCATCATCATCATCATCATCATCATCAGTATCATCGTAGCATCAACTGCTGCCGCAAGTTCACATGAACGTTAACATCCCACCCCACCCCACCCTGCGTGTGCGTAGCATCAACTGCTGCCGCAAGTTCACATGAACGTTAACATCTCACCCCACCCCCCCCCACCCCGCGTGTGCGTAGCATCAACTGCTGCCGCAAGTTCACATGAACGTTAACATCCCACCCCACCCCCCCCCCCCACCCCGCGTGTGCGTAGCATCAACTGCTGCCGCAAGTTCACATGAACGTTAACATCCCACCCCACCCCACCCCCTCCCCACCCCGCGTGTGCGTAGCATCAACTGCTGCCGCAAGTTCACAGCGTGTGCGTAGCATCAACTGCTGCCGCAAGTTCACATGAAAGTTAACATCCCACCCCACCCCACCCCCTCCCCACCCCGCGTGTGCGTAGCATCAACTGCTGCCGCAAGTTCACAGCGTGTGCGTAGCATCAACTGCTGCCGCAAGTTCACATGACCGTTAACATCCCACCCCACCCCACCCCCCAATCGTATTCAGGTTTACGCAGTTCCAGAAGCCTGGACAAGCCTATATATACACATGTGTATGTATATATATATATATATCTAATTGAATTTTGTGTGTGTGTTATAATTGCCAGTATTCTTATGGCATTGTTAACATCACACATTTACTATGAAGCTACACTTCATGGTTATGATCACCATGATAATCACCATGATAGTCACCAGTGTCATCCCATTCTCCCATGATCTCCAAAGTCTCACAGTGAGTATATCACCATGAGGATCACCATTATTATCCATTAAAATCACCATTATATCATGGACTCTTAAGCACATCCATTAAAATTCATTAAAATCACCTTTTGTATCTGAGTATATCACCATTATATCCCCTTAAACATCTTGAACCAACAGACCTCCCCCATCTCCAGGTGCTAAATCCAGAGGCCGCCGAGGTCTTGGCACAGTTCCGCAAGCACCTGGGCAGCGGTTTCACCCAGCGGGAGCCGGATGGTACCCTACCCTCTGGTAATGACTAACATAGCTATGGAAAATCACCATTTTTAATGGGAAATTCCACTATAAATGTGGTATTTTCCGTTTTTAATGGGAAAATCACCATCTTTAAGAGGTAAATCAACTATATATGGGCCATTTTCTACAGCTATGTAAACGTTTACCAGAGGGTAAGTTTGCTGGAGAATGGACAGCAAAATGGATGTGTATTCCGCCCAAAATACCAAAATATATATATCCTCTGGTAACTAACATAGCTGTAGAAAATGGCCCATATATAGTTGATTTACCTATTAAAGATGGGGATTTTCCATAGCTATGTTAAATTACCAGAGAGTATGGTAATTTCAGAAAGGTTTTGACCCATCGCCATGTGAAAATGTGATCGAAGTGATTTATAGCTGTTGCATAAAGTTCTTGATTCATAGATCACCAAGATACGTTCCAATCATGGTTATAATTAAATGTTAACCCCCACAAGTGGGGATCTAAACCCTTATAACTTGTAAGTGGAACTGCACAACCATTGAACGCAAGTTATGGGCAAAGTTTATCCATGCACAAGTTTTGTCTACTGGAGGCTAGTTTATTTCCTCAATTGTCACAAGCTGTGATGACCAAATCCTAAAGCTTTCACAAGAATTGTGCTTTGTTTGTTTTTCCTGCTTAGGGCAATCTATCAAAATTTGTCCACTTATGACCTTAGTTGACTAGAAATAACTCCATGTCAAAGGATTTGAAATGGGGGTGCCCAGCAACTTAATCGAGACTGGCAGCTTAGCAGTACCCTTTGGATAGTTTATCCGATGTTCTCATAACTTTTTCCGCAGTTCACTCAGGTGGGCGTCCGACATGTCTGGTGTCTTGGCAAGATTCAGAAAGCCGTTTTTGCAAGGATTGCATCCCTTTTGGCAAATTTTCTCCAGCAAATTTCACAACCTTCAATCCACTTTTCTCACAAAAAATGGTTTCAAAGTCCCATTCTAATCATTTATCTATCTTTTTAACTATTTCCAGTCATTTTTCATAGATTTCCCGTTGTGTTTCACCGCGTTTCGCATTTTCCCAGTGGATTTCCACCTTTTCGGAGGCAGCTGTGCACAGCTCTGGGACTCCACGGAGTTGGTAGAAGCCAGGAAGGAACCGCAGAGGAATGGACGCTGGCGATCGGAGAAGAAGATGTTGCCACCCGGTGGAAATCCTAGGTGAAATATGATGAAATATGGAGCTGGTTGGTGGTTTCACACATTTGGATTTTTTTCCGTATCATATATGGGATGTCATCCTTCCCATTGACGAACTCATATTTTTCAGAGGGGTTCAAACCACCAACCAGATATTATTAACCATCATTAACCATATAATAACCATTAATATTAACCATTCTTAACCAGGTATATTAATCAACCAGGATGGTTATTGCACCACCAACCAGGGGGGTTCCCACTGTCATGGGGGCATCACATCGCTGGATGATGAGTGAAAATCCCATCTATAAATGGATGATTCAATAGGGGAATACCACCATGAATCAGGAAACCTCCACATGGATATTTCACATCCTGGTGACTTCTATAATCTTATATATATATATATGGCTATGGCTCCAAAATGTGGTGTTTTGGTGAAGCCCCGAAATAGCTGGTGTTTATGGATGTTCATCTCTCCGAAGTGTCGCTTATGTTTGGCTTTTCAAGCCATCCCCATATATTTATATATTGATGTTTATGGGATTATTGATGATTAATACCAAGATATGGGATGTAAAAAAAGGGATTTCACCAAGAAATATTAATACCAACCCCCTCGGCCTGCTGAACTTCCATGTTTGGAACGCGCATAGATGGCGCAAGTCAGGAAAAGGCTTGACAGGACAAAATTCTGTTTGTAAATGTGTTTGCCCATGCCAACCTTCCTTGGCCTATTGGATGTTGGAGGTATGAGGGACTTGCTCCATCTATGTCCCCTTACTCAGCCAGTGGCTGAACTTTAAACTCTTTTTTTCTTGGGTTCGCGCCCTGCGCAACTCATTTTCGAACATAGATGGCGCAACTCATTTTTGGGCCTCTAAAAATCTAGTGGAATTTAAACGGGGTCTATGCGATTTTTGTCAGCGAAGCGATCACGTGGCAGGTGCCGAACTGGGGCCGTGGGGTTGCCCCCCCGTTTTTGGACATTATGTATATATATATACACACACATATGTATATATAGCCTCGTCCAGGCTTCTGGAACTGCGTAAACCTGAATTAGGTTGGTAAACTTGTCCATTCCGTGACGAAATTTCGTCGCGGAATTAACAAGTTTCATTTGGGTCATTATCATCATCATCATCATCATCATCATCATCATCATCATCATCATCATCACATCATCATCACATCATCATCAGCATCAGCATCATCATCACCATCATCATCATCATCATCATCACCAGAAACATGTGAGACCAGTTTATATAGCATCAACTGCTGCCGCAAGTTCACATGAACGTTAACATCCCACCCCACCCCCACCCCGCGTGTGCGTAGCATCAACTGCTGCCGCAAGCTCACATGAACGTTAACATCCCCCCCCCCCCACCCCCCCCCACCCCGCGTGTGCGTAGCATCAACTGCTGCCGCAAGTTCACATGAACGTTAACATCCCACCCCACCCCCCAATCGTATTCAGGTTTACGCAGTTCCAGAAGCCTGGACAAGCCTATATATACAGTATACAGTGTATAGAATGTAAACAAGCAAAATGACCGGAAAGAATTTGAATGCGATTTAAGGAACACAGATGGCGCAATTCATTTTTGAACCCCTCGAAAAAATTACTGGCGTTTGAATGTGATTTAATGGACATAGATGGCGCAACTCATTTTTTGGATAAGACATCTAGTTGAATTTGAACGGGATCTACTGTATGGGAGTTTTGTTAGCCAACAGTGGCAGTGGCAGAGTAGCGAAGAGCCCCAGCCGTCGACGCGAAGCGATCATTTGGCAGGTGCCGAACTGGGGCCATGGGGTTACCCCTCATTTTAGGACACCCCCATATGTATGTATATAAATATAAATATATATATATATACAGTATATATATATATTTACAATGCAATACAAACATATAATTTACAGTATAAACAAACATTTACAGTATAAACAGGCAAAAATGATCAGACATGTAGTACATGTAGTAAACTTAGTAAATTATACCCTTATGTCCATCTACTAGGGTAGTATTACTGGCAGTTGCGCCATCTACCTTTTCAGTTTGAAGTACATTGAATATTCAATATGCGCTATTTTGGGGCACATTGTTCGGGTCAGCAAATGTGTAGCAGCTGTAGATTCATAAGCGCCCAAAATATGTAATACACATATCATAATCAAACCAGGGATGATCATTATAAAGAATGAATATTTGGGGAATGTGGCAACCAACAACAGAGTCCAAACTGTATCACAAAGCAAGAGTGACATCCAATTACAGTCAATCATCGCCATCATGATTATATCGTTTCTGATATACAGTTTGGGTATGGGTTTTTGATAATGCACACGTTTTTGTGTCTGTGGAAACGACCAAAGAGGGAGGGGGAAACAAAAACACCCATGTCTTTATTGGTATACTCCTGATTAAGAAACATACGGAAGGGGTGCACAAGTGAGAGACTAAGAATTTTGCGGGTTCGTAACCCACACGAAAGAATTAATCTCACCGTTCAATAGAAATTGTATCAATGGTTTCATATCAATGGGATGTTCGCCGATCTTCGGTTAAAATGGGGTGTAACAGGTGTAACAGCTCTGTATACAACCAACGAAAAATGGGATATCCTAAGAAACGTAATGGGCGTAACACTTACAAAGAGAAGGAAAATATGAGCAAAATCTACGGGTATAAGATGTAATTACTACTGAGATGTATGTATCATGGATCATAGATACTTGTCAACAATGTAGTATACCTAGTGGCAAGAGACAACGCAAAAGGGGATATACCAAAATACAAAAACATCTCACTAACAATCCCTAATTAGGTCTCGTCCAGCTGAGGTTGAACCATTTAGCACAAGTTCTGAAGCAACACTTCGCTCGCTCCGCCGCTTTTATGTTGATATGGCTACTGGGTAATGGTCTAACTGGCCTGCTTTACATCCACCAAGGATCAATGGCAAACATGGACCAACGGTTTACTATGTTCTACACCTCTACGCACGCATGCATACATGCATACATGCACATATATGTATATATATATATATATGTATATATATATATGTATATATATATATATGTATATATATATATGTATATATATATATATGTATATATATATATATGTATATATATATATATATTGACGTACATGCATGCATGCATGCATCCATCCATCCAGCCATCCGCATGCATACATACGCTAATAATTATCTCATGTATATGTATTCCCTTGGGCCCACCAGACTTCTGAGGCCCCTCCTTTGCTCTACAACTCCTTGGATGCGTCACTTTGGCGCGGCACGAAACATGCTGTGAGATGCTAGGATTGCTGGTCGACTTTCCCAAGCACATTTTGATGTAATCATTTAATGGTTGATGGATACATACATACATGCATGCATGCATACATACATACATATCATATATATATATATTGTGGGAATAGAGTTGATATATTGGTTTAAATGGCTATATGAAGGGAATTGAACATGGGATATAGGACTTTCCACCGTTTTATGAGGACAGGCGGGTTTCATGGAGATCACGACAATGGTCCCACAAGTCAGCTAGTTCGGTGGCCGACTTTACCATACATGAAGGTTGGAAAAGGGGATCACCCCCAAATTGCCTTAGATCGGGACCAAATGGTGAGTTCAATACTGATTTCCACAACCATGCCATACCCACTGGTATTTTAGCATATTTATTGACCATCACAATTTTTAGATATTTTTAATATGGTAAATTCATCTATAAATCGGCAGTTTTCCATAGTTATGTTGAAATACCACCGGGAAATCCCTCCATCTGTGGCGTTTTTCCCTAGGTACGGCTGTGGCTTCGTCAGCCGCGAGGATTTCGTTTGGCTGGACCGGTGGCAACCCTGCGACTGGATCGCGGCCACAGCTGATGCGGATGCCTGGTGGGACCTGGGGAGCCTGGGGATCCTGGGGATCTCTGGGACGAATCGGGAACATTACCCTCTGGTTATGTCAACATAGCTATTGAAAATGACCATAGAAATAGTGGATTTTCCCATTGATAGCATGGTGATTTTCCATAGCTATGTGGCTGTTTACCAGAGGGTACCGGAAAACCCTAGATTTGATATGATATGACAGGGAAAACAATGGTTTCTGGTTCAACATTTTCCCAAGAAGCAATCCAGTGATACGGGGTAAAGACTCCAGATGTGAAGTGGCAACATAAGTTTGGGTTGTGCCGGGATTCGTTGGAGAATGTTTGCAGAACAAACTATTTAAGTAGCGAACTAGTCACGCTTTCTCACTGAATGACGTTGCTAGGTAGGTTGCTGAATGGTTGACTCGGCGAGGGGAAGCGGAACTTTCTCATCCAGACTGCTTTTGACAAACCCTCCAGATGGGAACGTTGATCTTATTTATGTTTTTGAATTCGACTATATTTAATGGGATGTGGTGAATTGTCAGCAATTATGGGACTACAATTCCCATCAATAAGGCTATGTATAAAGATGGGGATAAACGAACCATAGTCGGGATATCACGGGGATATTATGGGGATATAAAGAGCAGATATATAGCCCATAGGGCACCCCAAAATGGCCATCGAATGCGTTTCTAAACTGGGAGCCGCTTGCACGACCCACATCAATGTGATGTTTATGGCTAACGTTGGTGATCTTTGTCTGGACAGCGCTTTTTGAGATGGTTCAGCCAACAGAAATTAGGGCTTCGGTGGAAACGGACACCATTCCTGAATCAATTCACTGCAGATAGGATCAGCGGGACCATCACAGATTTCATCCAGTCTGAGAATGGAATACCCTCTGGTAATTTAACATAGCTATGGAAAATCACCATTTTTAATGGGTAAATCCACTATAAATGGCCATTTTCAATAGCTATGTTAAATTACCAGAGGGTAAAGTGTTTAATTCTACGTTGGAACCTCTTAGGTGTTGCCCCCCATTTGTCGATGATTTTATCTTCCGATCCTCCACCCCCAATCCTATTTTGGTAACAAAAAGTACGGCTTACTTTCGTTGAAAATGCCAATTTCTTGTGCCATGAAACATCCCCCCTGTTGGTCGGTTTAGTTGCTGGCGATATACCAACTGATTTATTGGGGATTATGAAACAATCACTAATGAACGGGATATGTACCCATTAACCAAATCCAACCACTGGTTGGTGGTTTGGAACATTTTTTATTTTCCATAATATATGGGATAATCCTTCCCATTGACTACTATTTTTTAGAGGGGTTGAAACCACCAACAAGACCAGTATTGCTCAGGAAGAATGGGCCATCTTGAAAGCATTGCTGATACGTACCTCGGCTCGATGTGAGATGATGTTCAGGATGCATGGCTTCACTCGGTTTGTGGTGATGGGGCCTAGCGTTTACCCCATTTAGTCATACATATGTGTATATTACAATATATATATAATATAATTTACGATAGTAATATAATATAATAGAATACAATGGAATAGAATATAATAGAATAGAATATATTATAAATAAAAAAGGAATAGAATATAACATAATAGAAATAGAATAATATAATAAAATATAATATAACAGAATATAACATAATAAAATAGAATATAATAGAATTTAATATAATATAATATAATATAACACAATAGAATATACCAGAATATAACATAATATACTAGAATAGAATCTGATATAATATAACATAATATAATATAATATAATATAATAGAATAGAATAGAATAGAGTAGAGTAGAATATGTGTGTATATATATATATATTTGATAGATAGATAGATGAACATATGCAGATATATCACCGAGATAATCCTAGATTTTGTTCAGTCGAAACCGAGGCCTGGAGGGTCACCCGCTTCGCGCCTGGCGGAAACGCTTGGACAAAGATGTCGCTTGGTGATGCGGATCATTGGCATCTTTTGGGAAGCTCACTATGAAAATAATGGTGTTTTTGATAATAAGAATGGTGATTTTATACTATGATATAACTATTATAATGGTGATTCTGATAAGAATGGTGTCACAATCATATGTTTTTTTTTGATTCGAGGGAATCGTGAGTTCAAAAAAAGGTCCTTGATCTGACATCCGACATGGCCCCTGCCTCGGGGCCTCAGGATTCCAATAGCGTTTCCTGGTTGGAGTTTCAACGCTGTTTCCAAGAGCTGAACTTTCATGGCAATGTCCCAGGCGCATGGAGGCGCTGGGACGTGGTCATCTTTTGATTGACTGTTTCCATGTGTAAAGTGGTTGAGTCCGATTGAGTCTCTGAAATCAACATTCTGAAACAATATCTTTTTGAGTGCCACTTGAAGTTTTAGGACTTGTTACTTCATGATCCATCCGTTTCACATCCTTTTTTCACCACATTGGACAGCGTAGGCACGTGGATGAAGACATGTCCGGCATCATCAGCCTGAAAGCGCTGCTTGGACGATGGGTTTAATGTGCTAAATGGGATTCACAGGAAACCAGTGGCTTCCCAAGAAATCTCTCAACTATGGGAATTTCCATGGTTTTTCGACATTAATCAATCTCTTGGTAGCAGGGACCCTGGATATCCATGGGCTCCCATTGGAAGGGCAGATACTTTGGAGCCTAAGTTGGTTGCTGGTTTCATATGTATATGTATATAAGACTATATAAGACATGTAATAATAGTAATAACAATTAATAGTAACAATAACAACAACAACATTAATAATAACACACATATATATATACATACATACACATTGTATATATATATAATACATATTTCTTTTCCTTCGAGGAAGGGATGTTCCTATTCCTAGAATTTCGATCAGCTGTGGGATGGCCCAAGGTATGACATGCCTTCTGCGCAACTCCTGAGCTCCTTCAAAACCTGGGCAGAGGAACACTTTGGTGACTTGGCAACCAATCTTGCTGATAGTCAACTATAATAAAGTGATGATGAGTTTCATAGTTGATCTACTACCATTCATAAGAGTATTATAATAACTGGTAGATTTGCTATTATAGTCTTATGAATCATTGGTAGAACTCTAATTAACTATACGTAGGTTGAAATAATCGATTAAACTATAGTAACGCTACTACTAATAACATAATAGTACGATTAGTTATAGATTTTGTTAGTACTATTCCGAGTCATTGGTATTAACTACAATTAGTAGATGTATTGGTAAGTAACGACTTTTTGACTACAAAAGTACTAATAGTGTTTGTAAATTGATAGTAGTGTTAACTATGATAAAATAGTGGATTCATCTATTGGTTATGAATCAATAGTATTAGTGCTGCTGTCGCTCTGTTTTTGCTCAAGATTTGATGGATTGGCACCAGGTTCGGTTCATCGAGCATTCACCGTGCTGGACAACGTAGCTCGGCACTGGTCCACAGAATAACATACATAGCTGTATATATATATACATATATATATATATAATACATACATATATATATAATATTATGTGTAGCTATAGATATGCACGTCAATTCCCTACCATTTTCTCCGACATTTGCGAAGGGATGTCCATTGAAACCACTAAACTACTTGTGGTTTTTCCATGTTTCCCCCCTTGCTTGAAGGGTTTTCGCCTCTATCTGAGGGCAGGTTCGGATTCGTGTTCCCAATCCGCAGCTGTCTTCAATCTCTTGCATGCTCAGTGAAACCCATGTAAAAAGCCCTTGTGGTTGAAGATTATAGGGAACTACACTATCCAATATAGCCTCTGGTAATCAAACATAGGATTTTGAGATAATTCCCCAGAAGTAAATGGTGGTTTCTAGCTAGGAACATCCTCTATAAATGGAGGATTTTCCAGGCAACCATGTTTGATTTCGGGGAGGGTATATCATAATATCCCCATAATCATCCTATTAATATCCCATTATCCCATTCATATTCCATTCTCAACGGATTAGGGGAACATCTACTGGAAGCCATGGATTTTCACATGAAATCTGGGGGCCAATCGGTTCCAAATTTCCCACCAAGCCATTACCAAAAAACCATGGGTGAAACAGCTGAGGATGGAAGCGGTTTCATCTCGCTCCCGGAATTGCAGCGTGCTTGCCTAAAGAGGTGCCACGGGGGCCACGGCCCAACGGGGCGACATTCGCATGGGATGGGCCCTGGTTGGGGGTATCAACTTATGGCCAATTCCTGTGGGACAATGATGTTTTTTCATGGGGACATATCTATCAACTTATGATAACTGGCAATTTTCATGGGGAAAATGATGCTCCCATATAATCCCATATATATATATAGACATATTACATATTATATTATATTACATTATATTATATTATATTACATTACATTATATTACATTATATTATGTTATATTATATTATATTATATTATAACCTCCTTTGTATCCACGTCATATAAATAATTTAAGCCCTGTTTTTTTTGTGAGGGACACCGAGATATTTTTCCACGAAGCGGGCAGGCCCTGGAAAGGTGATGTGAAGATGCTCTTCCGCTGCTTGGATGTGGAGGCGAGCCACAGCACAATTGGAAGAGGTGGTATTGCAGTATAAAGATTCAGTATATATATAATATTATACATATAAACTATGTATATATTAGATATTATCTGTATTACATGTTATGTATGTTATATAATTATATATATATTCAATATACAGTATCTATAATATATGACATAATATATGATCATAATTATATATATATATATGATTTATATAATATATAATATCTAATACATAATATATAATATACATATACATGTATATAATATACATATGTAATATGGTATGTAATATATTGTATGGAATACACACCATAGAAATAGATTGTATCTCACTAACACTAGATCTCACTTCATTTCGCCAACGAATTAAATATCATTAGATCTCAGCTATCTTTTATTAGACTATATATATGTATACACATACACATGTACATATATGCAAAGTAACGATAATCACCACAGATTTGCGCCTTTTTTTGTCGTCTGACGGCAGGATGGAAACCATCCCAGATTGTCCTTGGCTGAACTGGGCTTTTTGGATAACTGGGAGGCGTGGAAGTTCCCACTGCGGTTTGAAAAAAATGGGTTTTGATTGATTATCTTTAATCCATTTGGAGTATATGATGTGTATATATGAGATATATTTCGATCGACAGGTTTTTGGACCTACATCTATCATTTTTCTACCATTTTGAACCCAGATACCGGTAGTTCGTAATTCTTGGTGATCCATAGTATTTCTACCATCATTCGATGGCCGCAGGTCTCTGCGTCCGAATCCGAGGACGAACGGGACGAACCCCGGCGCGCCCAAGAGGTCAGGGGATGACATCCATGGGGATTTCCATGGGAATCGAATGGGAATCTGTTACCCTCTGGTAAACTATATAACATAACTATGGAAAGATCCACCATGCTATTCATGGGAAAACTCACTATTTCGACTGGGCCATTTTCAATAGCAAACTGTTGACATAACCAGGTTGGGTAATCCATGAAATCCACGGATTTTATGGTGAAACAATCTGATGAATGTGTTTGTTTTTGTTTTTGTGTAACTTTTGCCATGAAAAAAGGGCGATGAAGCAGACCCGCACCCAAAAAAGTCATCGATTGTTGAGACATATTCTTGGGAAAGCATGCGCATCTGCCCACAGTTTTTTGGGAAAACCTGCATCCCCTGTCCCATTCAGGGCTGGCGGCTGGTGATTTCAACGACACAATTTTTTCTAACGTTCATCTCTTCCAAAATGAAGGGATGCACCGAAAGTTTCTAAAGGTTGCCATCGAATAAAGGAGAACATGCACACCACGAGATTTTGTGTTTTCCTAACATTTTCGGCCAGACAATCCCTAGTAGATGTGCAATATTGCACAATTTTCCGATGAACAAGGTCTTTTTTTATACCAACACGAGACCAGAACGGTATAAATACCACTACAGGGTACAGTACCATTCAAATGAATTCAACTGGCAATTTTCATTCGGAACATGACATTTTTTACAGCATTTCGGGGCCTTTTCCTTAAACACACTTGAACCATGGTGGATTATTTTTTCCATCATTCACTTAAGGTTGATGAGGTTGATGAATTATTCACAGATTTCTCCAGATTTTTCCACCATTTCTCCAGATGTTTCACCCGTTTTTCCCGGTTTTCTCCCGATTTTTGTTGGATCAGAGGCGCCCCGCGGCAGCTCCGCCCGTCGCCCGCCACGGGAGAAGCGCAGCGCCGTGCCGCTGCCGGAGCTGCGCTCGCAGTCGCAGCCGGCGAAGCGCTGCGAGAGGCCGAACATGGTGGGAGATGGGGGAAAAAGCCCATGGTTTATGGTGGATTTGATGGGAATTTATAGTTTTTTTATGGGATTTTGATGGAATTTATGGTGGATTTTTAAATGGGATTTTAATTGTGGGATTTTGATGGGATTTTATGGAAGATCTAAAGGGAACTTATGGGATTTCATGGGGTTATGAAAATCATTGCTGTATGAGAATTTATAAATGTTATACTATATACTAATGGTTTATGGGGTATTTCAACCATGCAACCATGTATATATATATGTGTATACATATATATTGTGACCGACACCAGTTTCTTTCAATGATCTAATGGGGATATAACCAACAATAGTTTATCACCAACAGTAGCCATTTATGGTGGTTTATGGGAGGCTATTAGATGCTATTACCATGGAGGACTATATTTTGGGATGCTAGTTACAGAGAACCTGGTTGATGATTGATTTGATGTTTTTTTTTTTTTTTTTAATGGGATCTATTTGGATTTTTATGGAGATATAACCAACAATAGTAGGATTGATATAGATGTAAATGGATATGATTCTTTGATTGGGCAATGAAACATGGCTGGGAAATCCCCTACAAATAGAGGTTTCTGGCTGGGAAAAAAAACATCGAACTAAACAGGGGGATCTTCCTACGGGTTTACGATTTATTGGGGAAGATATTTTGGAATATAGTGGGGTAAACATATATATGTATATGGCTCATTATATTATTCATTATTCCACTCCACTAGAATAAAAACAGGTTACCCTCCAATCCTCAAACCGAGGGTATGGCCGCCTGGGGATGCAGATGGAGGTTTCCCAAGATTTTCCATGAAATAAACCATCCAGCTATGGGGGTACCCCCATTTTTTTGGACACCCCCATATGTTACTGTTGGGGTTTAATGTTGGGATAAACAGCAATTTGGCATGTGGATACACTTGATAGGATGTTGGTTGGGTTGATGATTGTCAGGACCATTCAGTTTTAACAAGTCTGAAAATTGGGATGTCATCATATGTCATCACCGTTTTTTTTTGTTTTTGCATGTAACCTGAACTTTTGCACAATAAACTGGTATGACCGCTGGTTGATCAGTCAACCATCATCTAGGGGATGTATCATACGGAGATATACCCTCTGGTGAACTAACATAGCAATGGAACATGGCCCATTTATAGTGGATTTTCCCATGAAAAGCATGGTGATTTTCCATTGCTATGTTAGTTCACCAGAGGGTAAATCATTGATACATAATTGTTGGTGGATTCGACAAGGTTTAAAACATCAGCTGGGGGACTTGACCCGCCGAAATCTGTTCACTTTTTTTTCCCCAAAAAAATCGGATTTGTTGGAATCCACGAAACATACCCTCCGGTAATTTCACATAACGAACTGGAAAGATCCACCATTTTTCATGGGTAAATAATGTAAATCCACTATTTCTATGGCCATTCAACCGGATCGCCGGGAGAACCCCATCACGCACTTCGTCCACTTCCTCCCGTCTGACAACGGTGTCGGCGGCGAATCTGATCGGGGAGGGTGCTGACCTCAGATCGGAAGCGAAATGGAAAAGACATGAAGTGTTTCAAGCTGGATAGTAATTAATGGTTAGTAATGGATAGTAATGGCTGATTAATGGTTAATAATGGTTAATAATGGTTAATAATGGTTATTAATGGTTAATAATGGTTAATAATGGTTAATAATGGTTAGTAATGGATAATAATGGTTAGTAATGGATAGTAATGGCTGATTAATGGTTAATAATGGTTAGTAATGGTTAATAATGGTTATTAATGGTTAATAATGGTTAATAATGGTTAATAATGGTTAATAATGGTTAATAATGGTTAATAATGGTTATTAATGGTTAATAATGGTTATTAATGGTTAATAATGGTTAATAGTGGTTAATAATGGTTAATGGGATATACATGGGGTAAACATAAATGGCTGCTTAATAATGGTTAATGGTGGATAATGGTGGTTAATCATGGTTAATGAGATATCTGGTTGGCGGTTTCAAACATGGCTTTGATTTTCCATTTCATATATGGGATAATCCTTCCCATTGACGTTCATATTTTTCAGAGGGGTTGAAACCACCAGCCAGATATTAATGGATAGTAATTCATAGATCGATATTAATGATACTAAGATGTAATTTCACCTGGTGATGGATATTTTGATAGATATTGTGATGGATATGGAGACTTATGGATACTAATGGATATTTATGGATAGTAATGATATGGATATTGATGGATCTTTATGGATAGTAATGATTTGGATATTAATGATGTTTGATAAACCATCAACCTTTTCAACCTTGTCTCAATGGATATTACAACGATGTTTTTGTTTTCTCGTTTTTGTGTAGGTGAAAATCATCCCGAATCATTGGGCTATCCTGGAGCCTGCAGTGAAGCAGTTTCCTACCCTATTTGTAATCAAACCATAAACCTCAAACAACATCCCCGTTCATTTACCGCGCATTTACAGTGTATATCCCAGTTCAATTGGTATGTTCAGGGGATGCATCCCAACCAAGGTCCCCCGGACAGCGGCGCTCATCGACAGCTGCAGAAGGACTCGAGTCTCCGTTCCTTTTGGAGTGAAACATCGACGGCGTCAACTTTGATGACAAATTGAATTATGGGATAGTTTGGTGATTATAAATAATATCATGATCCCATTCAATGACAAATAATCCCATCATATCCATATGGGATTATAAATGACATTATGATGATATGATGGTGATGACATGGGATAGTTTGGTGGTTTAATCCCAATTTTCCACTGTGGTTTAATCCTATGCAAAACGAAAATCATCAACCATAGGGGCCCAATTTTTTTCGGGTCTGCTGAAATGGGGGGTCAATGTTGTCACTTTGGGGAAATCAGCGTGAACCATATTGGATTAGTGGGTATATTTTCAGAAACACCCTGATACCCGGACGAAGTTGAACCCGGACACTCCAAAAAGCTGTGACTCTTTGAGTGGGAAATGGTGAACATAAGCTGAACATTAGCTTTGGATCGCCACATTTTGAAAGCCAGATCCAGTCCTCATCGTAGCCAAGTCTGATGATTGGATCCCTCCACTTTAGGGGGGTTCCTAAAAATATGGGTACCACAAACCATTGGGTTTTCGCATTGATGACCACCAATTTTGCATGATTTTGGGGTACCTCCATTTTTTTGGAAACCTCCACATGGTGCACCGGAGGATCCTCGTCAAGAGCACGAACAATGGGTTCAACAACGAGAACAGGAAGTGCAGAGACTTTTCTCCACTGGTACCAACAGCAACCAAAACCCGGAAATAATATGATATGGTGGTTTCCTGAAATAGGGGTTCCCCCAAATCATAAATTTTAATGGGATTTTCCATTATAAACCAACCATTTTTTTGGAAACCTCCATATGGATATTCGCAGGCAGTGAACTTTTGAGCCATTAAAAAAATGGGTTCATCTGGGTCCCAACTCCCTGAAGTTCTGGTGTTGGAATCAAGGTTTGGCATCACAAGCTGGCGCCACCCAGTTGGCTAAGTTGGTTTCTAATTTCATAACAATCTATGATCCCCATCAGCTATAGTAAGTGACATTTCTACTATAATTCCTGACTGATTGGAGCTGTGCTTACCAACTTAGCGATTCCAAACTGGGGCACCACAAAGTGTACCAGGTCAGATTCCTGTGAAACTCTGCAGATAGTCACTGGCTGATGTGGCTTTCGACATTCTCCATTTCTATTTGGGATGATTTCAAGATATGTCAAGTGACGGAAACAACCAGACTTGTCTTGGGACCGAAACCAGTCTCAGCATGTTGAGTCATCCCCAGACGTGTGGCGTGAGTTTTCGATGTTTGTCGCCTCTCAAATGTTGATTAGCCGTCAAGGACTCGACACTTGTTGTTGGTTAAAAATCATATTCCAATCATTTCCCACCAAGACCAAGATGTCTGATGTCTGTATGACCCTAAATGATTCTACCCCCGGATTGGCTGATTGAATAGTGCACATGGCAATTTTATTGTAGGTCCATTGGTGCCCAGTTTAACTGAGCCATACATCTGTGTCCTTTGATGCTATGTTCCGACATTCTGATGATTGTTTTCTTTAAGATTTCTTGATTCTCCACCAATTGTCCAGTCATACTCCATTCATAATTTCCTTTTGATACCACTTGCCATGTATTCCCATATCATCCCCATATATCCCCATATCATCCCCATATAATCCCCATGCAACTTGACCATTTGCCACTGAGGAGCATTTATCGTGTGGCCTCCGAAAGATATGGAAGCTCCAGCTCTGAGGTTCGACATCCCAAAATCGCAATCGGACGTTGAAAAAAATGGGTTTTCAATATGGGGAATATATGGAAATCCAAAGGTAAATGATCACTTCAATATGGGGAATATATGGGTTTTATTGGGTTTCAATATCATGATCCATATCTATCATGATTTATGACATCCAACTCTTTCAAAATAGATATACCCTCTGGTAAACGTTTACACAACTATGGAAAGATCAACACTTTTTCATGGGAAAATCCACTATTTCTATGGCCATTTTCCATAGCTATTTTGACATAACCAGAGGGTATCTGGAGATTCAGGGGAACGCCCATTTATGGAAACCCCCACGTGGGGAAGATGTGGAGATTTATGGGCAATCCAACTTTTTGGAAATATAATTTTCCAACATGGGGGGATGAATAATAATTGCCAATAATTGGATTGCCAACAAAAGTCATCATCCATTTTACCAACCATCCGATTTTTGGGTTCGTGACTTTTCGAGCACCAAGTATTGGCATTGCACGATGGTTGAACAAATGGGGAAAAGCCATTCGTTAACCTTGAAGTCTTGGGGTGTAGGGCGTAGGAGCTGTAGTCATGTCACCGATGAAATAGGGATGGTGAACTAGCCCTTGCGATGTTTCAGCCAGCTTTGGCAGTGGGGATGTGACATGTAGTTTTGCCTCCTGGTTCATTGCTGTTTGAATTCATTGCTGTTTGAAAGCCTCTGGTAGTGCTGACTACAATCCCATGTTCTCTTCCTTCAATCGTAGGGTTAACTCTTCAATACCCCATGTAGTTCGAGGATTTTCCATTAAACACCTCCCTTTATATAGGGGTTTCCCAGCTTGCCATGTCCCTTCAGGGTTTCTACCTTCTGGATCTGCAGGTGACGAAACGTCTCTACCATCCTCATGTGCGCGATCCTAAGACAGGTGCCCGGGGTTGGCAGGTGGAATTGGTTTATCTTGAAAGTTCATTTTCTGGTCGGAAAAACTGGAAGGAGCATTTCAACATCATCAACAGATGTGGGTGTCCCTCAAAACCCTCCAGACACATTGGAAAATATGGAGATCCACACAATTTATGTGACATGATGGCTGGTTTCAAACAAATTGTCCATCAGGACTTGTATTGATGATTGTGGCCCTCACCAAACTTCCGGTGAACAATTGTTCAGCCTCAGTCTTCGCTGGAAAATCGCGAATATGGCTGGGTCAATGGGAACTTTTACAGTAGAACAACTTGGGATTTTCCAACATGTCCCCCCCAAGATGTCCCCAAGATATCTCCCGGGGGAGGCGTGCCCAGTTGGTTACATTCGCTGCGTGAAGCCACACGGTCCCGGAGTGAGGCCAGACTCTCGGGAATGCAGAGCATTTAAAATGGCAGCATTTTATGGTGATAGAAGTTGATATATACCCTTGAACATTGGTGATATTAATATTGATCAATATATGGGTAAATCCAATATGGTAAATCCAATATTGATCAATATATGGCATTACTCTAGAGTATCCCTCGAAAAATCAGCAACATATGATGATATTCATCAATATTCATCAGTCATCCATCATTATCTCAGTTTTAGTATACCAGGGATTACCAGGTCATACTGATGCTATTGGTGCCCGGACCTCTCAGATTGTCCCATCTGATGCTATGGGAATCCGAGTTTTGAAGGAGCACAAACTATGATAGCTTTAGGTGATTGATGTTAATCAAACAAGTTCTTGTAATTAAACTAATTTCGAGTTGTTAAAGAGCTTTGGTACTTGCTGTTTTTATGAACCGGGCCTTCACGAGTTCATCGAAACACGTCGAGAGCAGCAGTCTCTAGTCATTGATTTGCAACAGCAAATAGATGAGGCAACCATGGGGAAAACCATGGCAAAGAACTGGGAAACCAAGAGAAAACCATGACTGGAAACAAATTCCATAGAACATGTGGACTAGATTTGAATAGATGCAGAAATAATGGAGGGACTGGAGGGACTATGGAAAATCTGGGGGGTGCAAATGAAGAAGTCATTGTAGAACTGGTACTGAAGCTCTTGGTCTCTTGGTTGATTTGCTGATTTGCTGCACATATCTCTCAGCTCGACATTTTTAACCCTAAATTCCAATTTTTACGAACCTCCGTTCCAAAATCATTCAGCAGGGAACGAACGTACTGGGAGTACCCTTCGATGAGATCCATCGTGACAGGCATTGCTGCCGCGCGGCACACATTTGACGGGCGCTCCAGTGGGGTCTTCCCGGAGTTCTTTGAAGGCCAACAAAGATGGGATGTCCCGATGTTCAAACAGTGACTTGTCCCTTTGCATTTTTTTCCCCCAGCTTGAACCCATGGATTTCGCAAAGACAATGTTCGAAAACTATATTTAATAAGAAAGAATCCACCCCGTGGTGATATCCAGGGTCATGTATGCCATGCAGCCTGGCTCTCCGATTGGCTATCTCTTTGCTGCGGTGCACTGTCATTTCAATGGAGGGTTCATGGCAATGAGGAAAAGGAATCACTATTGACCCTAGCGTCCTTTGTACCCAAATTGATGGCATTTGACGATAAAAATCACGCCGCTGATTCTTTTGCGGGTCAAGTTGGGAACGGCCACCCATAGTCTTATGTTCACAATTGAAATTAACGCTAGATACTGTATATATATATAGATATCTATAGATATTCAAATGCCATGCGGGCATATCACAAAAAGTGGACCCCCCCCAAATCCATCATTTCATGCGCAAGTTTGCTAAGAAGAACGATGGTTTTGAGGTCAAAGGGGCGTACATCCGCATTTCCACTCTTGATTTCCTTTGTCTTGTTGGAGCGTATCCCCTCTTTTTTCCTCTGTTCAATTGAAATCCATGTGATTTTCTCTGTATGGTCACATCCCCACTCTTGTAACCATCGGCTGATATTTGTTGGCAGTCTGATGGACCCGGTCTCATTATCGCAGGGCAAAAACTAGTTGTTTTTGAAGTGACTATTCCTGCTTTCATATATTCATGCATGTGTTGATTGCATTTAACACTTATTTGCACACTCTTGTTATCCCTAAGTTTTCACTTTAGCAGATATCAGTCAATGTCCCTATCCTTGCCGGTGAAACATCAAGTTTTATGGACGGTCAGGAGGCGCCCCCTGCTCCTGCTGCTCCTGGCGCTGCCGAGCTGCCGGGAGTTGAGCCAATCTACCGCTATGGTAGCTTTTAAAACAGGGATGACGGGAATGGAAATGACATGAAATGACTATGGGACCGGGAATTTTACCAATGGAGATGAATTTTGATCATCAAATTATATATATATATGATATATGTATATAATATATGTATATGTAGTCTTTTTTTTGACATAGACTAGAAGTTGTTTGATGATTTTTGGGTGAAATCGATGTGCCCATTTTGGGCGGTGAATAGTGGATTGATATTGTCATGAACCATCATGAAACATCATGTTGACGACTTATTATATTATAGGATGCTTAAGGGGGGGATGGAAGGGATGAATATGTATTTTTAGTTATTGTAGCCGTGAATTATTGGTGATATCCAACTGACTCAACACATTTCCACTGCATAAAATTGGTCAACATGCAGGGGTTGGTAACTGTCCCATTTTGGGAATATTGGACATCACCTTATAGTAGCCATTATAGACCATATACCTAATGGTTGGGTGATGTTCAATGGGGACATTTAATGATTGGTCAACATGATTGGACTCTCCAAGATGGACATGTTTGGTGTCCTCCGCAGGTAGCAATGGCAGCGTCGTTGGACCCTTCAAACTCTCAGAGGTGCGTCTGAAGCCCATGCTGGGCGAAGACTTTTCGCGTCGCTTGGCATGGGAAAAAACATAGGCTTGGCATGGGATATACCTCGGGATAAACAGCAATGGTGGGTTAACTATCAACAATGGGCATATTTTGTGACAATTTAATGATCAGTAATGGGGATATCATGGGATTTTAATGATCAGCAATGGGCATATTATGGGATTTTAATGATCAACAATGGGGATATTATGGGATTTTAATGGATTTATCCATGAACTATGGGAATTATGAGGATGTATCAGGATTACCCCATCGACAGTTGGGATTCAGCAATTAGCCAAAGATTTTGGGGCATACAGCAACCCAATTTTGCACAACTTCATGTGGACAGTAAAAATAGGAGAGATCTATGCTGGTTGGTGGTTTCAAACATGGCTTTTATTTTCCATTTCATATATGGGATAATCCTTCCCATTGACTTTCATATTTTTCAGAGGGGTAGGTATACCACCAACCAGTATCTATGTTGCTGGTAGTAAAACTAAAGGTCTTCAGCGATGATGGGAATTTTATGAATTTCTCTGCTGGATCTCTCTGAGTAGACAGCAATAATCATGGTGGTTTGAAACCATGAGTAATAATAATCTGATAGTCAACAATGAGTATCATTAGTTATTGGATTCAGATACAATGATTTCCATTACATCATTTCCTTTATTTAGTCAACAATGATTATCATCAACAATGATTATAATCAACAATGATTATCATCAACAATGATTATCATTAACAGAATAATTTAATGATAATCATTCTTGATTACTATATTACTATTAATGATTTCCATTACAATCTGATACAGATGATAATCATTAATCATTGCACCATAGATTTCCATCATGATTCCAGATCTGATCTCACGATCGGCACCCAGGTGGCTGAGGCTTATCCAGCCCCGCAGCGCTGTACATAGATTTTCGGTTGCCGGTGTCATTCCGTTCGGAAATTCCCTATTGTTTTCAGGATGAATACATTAATTTAAAATCAAGCTGCGAATATTTCTTAACATCGACACCAGCTGTCGGTGGTTGCCACTCTTGCAAGTCAACTTGTGAGCTTCATCCCATTGATCACCTGGTGCTACCATCCATAGGAACCAGCCACTGGAACTCAAAAACTTGGATTTCCGGTGCGAAAAATGCGGTGCTTGTGATGGAGGTGGAGTTGGTTCTTCATATCTGAAGTTGCTCCGAAACTCTGAGGTATCACCTCAGTTGGATGTTTTCATTTCGATATTTCCATCCAACAAGATGGTGATCCCATTTGACCCTTATCAAAACGGGGGGTCTTGAGACCACCAACCTATGGCTTTGATGGCTTTGTCTCAAAAAAAAATCCACCTTCACCTCCGATTCTTGTTGATCTGAACATATCTTAACTCATCAACGTGCATAACATGGCAACTTTGTGGCTATGGCTAGGACCCATAGGGAGCCTTTTCGGACCATCCAAGGGACCCTTTTTGTAGCCGAGCCAGCCACAGGAGGACACCGGGTGAGGTTGACTTTGAATGCAGTTCTTCATTTGCTGGGGATCCCAAGAGACCTGAAATTGATGGAACATGATTCATAGAATTGGATGGTACAATTCTAGGTTTATGTTTTGCATCCATTGATATGTACCCAATATGATTGGTTTATATTCATGATAATATAATTCTAGGTTCGTGATATTCTATTCATAGAATTGGATGATGGGAAAATTTTAACCGGAAAACCCGTCATATTTGATGGTAATTTAACCATGGTTTCCGGTTAAGATTTTCCCTTAAACCAATCCAATGATGGAAGCCAAATTCATGGCAACCTGCTGGCCTTTTGGGAACAGCATCTTGGGAGATAGCCTCTGGTTATGACTAACAGTTCGCCATGGGATTTCGATGGCCCATAGAAATAGATGGTTTGCCTATAACAAATGGTGATTTTCCATGGCTATGTTAAATAACCAGATGGTATCCTGTTTTGGGGTTTTTAACGTTCATTTTTGGGGTGGAGATGAAAATAGCTGCAAAAACCGACTCGAGATGAATGGCAGACCTCCAACGAGAGCACGCAGGGCTATATCGAAGCAACCTCATTGAGATTCGGAACATTGCTGTAATATGACCGGTTGGTGGTTTGGAACATGAATTTTTATTTTCCATTTCATATATGGGAGAATCCTTCCCATTGACGAACTCATATTTTTCAGGATGGTTATTGCACCACCAACCAGATGACATATGGATTGGCTTCAGGATCAATACTGTCAATACTGTCAATACTGTCAATACTGTCAATACTGTCAATACTGTCAATACTGTCAATAATACTGTCAATACTGTCAATACTGTCAATACTGTCACTACATACTAATCATACCATGAACAAGACATAAATTTCATCTGTAATATACCAACAATGATAAATACCAACAACACATAAATTTCATACTATGATCAAATATACCAACTAAATCCAACAAAACCGTGGTGCGAATTTTTGAGCAAAAAAAACGAGCCTGGCCAAACATCGTCAAATCTTCGTCTATCAGGTCCACCCGAAGCTTGAGGCCAAACATCAGGCGCACCTGATCAGTCATTGGTGAAATAGGGGATGATCATGAACCAATTGGTGATACTGATAAACATTAATCATTATTGGTTAATAATGATGATAATGACATTAATAACTATTGCTTAATAACCTGTTGGTTAAATATGGGTGATAAGCCCTAAAACAATTGGTGAAAATCAGAGATTCAATGAATCATTGATAGGGCTTAATTTTCATCCATCATTTGATGATAGTCGATTTTCAGGATTTTCATCACTAGGTTTAGTGCTCAGGTCTTCTCATTTTCCCTGAATTCACCGCTTGCAGGTGGTGAAATGGACAGCAGATGAAGGGTCATGGCCTCAATGAAGGGCGAGCATCGAGGTTAACAGCGAAATGTTCCGTGTGGATTTTCCTCTAAAAAATGAGGAGTCCATGTTGGCCACTGAATGTTTCAGGAAAAATCTGGAACTCTTTGTTTGTATATCCATGGGATATGTTCGTCCCCTTTTTTGCCTCAGACCTTAATTGCCAGCTCTTCTGCTTTCAATGGATAGATAATATCTACAGTTGGATGGGTTTATAAAATGATAACTTAGGCATCCCTCAAGACAACAAATTGCACATGTTATGTGATTGCCGGGAATGAACGTAGTGTCCAACCTTTTTTTTCGTGGGAGTATGTATGTAACAAAATTGTGACTCCGACCCAATTTGAAGGGTTTCATTGTAATTGTTGGTTATGAGAGTTTGATAGGGTTTGCTATCTTTTTGAAGAGGTGATACAATGTGGCTGTGGGTCTTAACTTCGCAATGTTTGACCAACTCAGGTGTAATGAATTTGGATTGCTAAAACATTGTGTTGTTTATGAAAGCTTTAACTAGATTGTACTTAACCCCCGCCACCCCTGAAACCTCTGACATCACTCCAAACATACCAAGAATGCTACAACCACCACCACCCAAGCGTCAATCTCCAAATTTACTTCAACAGCACACTTCTGGAATTGAAACCATGAAAATTCATCAAACTTCCAGCCATCCCATGCCATCCCTAGCCTTTTCAAAGTCAAGGCTGTGCGCGCGGTTGTTGCCGGAGGGACATTTGGAGGTGCATCAAGGATCAGAGATCTCAGGGAGTCCGGCCCTCTACAAGCTGCTTGGCGCCAGGTCCCGGGATCGTTTTTTTGGACCAACGTTTTCGTTGATGGCCAGTGGCCAGTGCTGTTTTTTGAATCAAAACTTGGGGGTTTGAAACAACCAAACAGATCCAAACAGGTTGGTTGATGTTGATTGGGTAAACTGTGAACTCGATTCGTTTGTCTTTGTTTGGCCAAAACTGTAAAAAGCGACTGTGGGCAAGCCCACGAAAGAAAATGACAATTGGGGTTCAAGCCAACAACATAGATACACCATAGTGATATCAACAATATACGGGATGTACGTGATATTACGCGGGAAAATTGCATACGGAAGCTGCAAAGGGTTTCAACTAAGAACTACCCTCTGGTAATTTAACATAGCTATTGAAAATGGCCATTAATAGTGGATTTTCCCATTAAAAATGGTGATTTTCCATAGTTATGTGGCTGTTTGTCAATTTATTTGGATCCGTGATGAGCAGCGATCCATGATTCCTTGTCCCATTCTTGAATTGATTCTATCCAGGCTTCAAATCGGGTGAGGGGAATCTCAAATCAGTTGGGTACCAGGCTACCAGCCATCAGGGACCCCACAAATCCATTGATGACTGCCGATTGACACATAGGGGTAAGATTATCAAAAACAGATGATATATATGATATATGATATATGATATATGATATATGATATATACTAAGATTATCAAAAACAGATGATATATGATATACCCTCTGAATATTTAACATAGCCATGGTATAGATGGTCCATAGAAATAGATGGTTTACCTATTAATAGCATGGTGGATCTTTCCATGGCGATGTAACAAATAACCAGATGGTAACAATAAAATGATGCAGCCAATTCGACGAATCAATCATTTAAGCGGTTTGAATATGGGGTCACAAACTGCCATCACACCTCGCTTTAGTTTTCCCGGTCAAAAGCTACTGCGTTACTGCTCCCATATTTTGGGTATGAACATTGATGAATCGCTGGTATGTTTGACCAGCTGAGGTTCGCTCGTCCTGCTGGCGATTTTGAGTTCGCAGGTCGCTCGCGACTGGCCATTTTTGTTGGGGACCCCAGGATCAGTTGGGCCGCAGTCGGGTTGACACCGAGAGTTTGTTGAAGACCATCGCATATTCATTGCAAGCAGTTTCTGATTTTTGAAGCCTTCTACAATAGACTATTAATATATACGTATCTGATTGGTGGTTTGGAACATTTTTTATTTTTCCCATCATATTGGGAATAATCATCCCAACTGACTAATAATTTTCAGAGGGGTTGAAACCGCCAACCAGATTACTGTAATATATACGTATACTTACTTCTAGATTGATGTCGATGGTCAGGCCTTTCGGCTCCTTGTCCATGAAGGTCATGACAGTGTATCCAACGACTACAACGAGAATACATATAATATATCTATATATTTACTATTTTATAGCTGGGAAATTATCTATAGAATATATCTATATCTATATAGAATACATCTATATCTATATCTATATTATCTAACATCTATGTCTATCTAACCCAGTCACGTCCCAGATTTTAGCTGGCTCAACTTGGTTCCTTCCGACTCAGCTGGCTCAAACTTGAGCGTTCCTTGGACTCTTCAACCTCTTCAGCGCAGAAGGATCGGACTCAGTTTGATATTTCCCATCCAGTGATAATCATCCCTTTTGATCAGCCACCTTTCTGGCGGATCTTCACAAAAAAAAACAAAAGACATAGATGGTTCCAGACATCTCCCACCCCTGATATATTTGACTCAAAATCCTTCAAGGGTTTCGACGGATTTTTAGATGGACTTCTCACCAAGCTGTCGGCATGCCGTCAGTGTATCGCACCTGGCGAAGGCGTGGACGTGGCTGTGGCTTCAGAAGTGTATTCTTCATGTGAACACCACATTTCTACTTTACATTAAATCAATTATATCACATACATTATAATCCATCATCTTCTACTACGTTATGTAGTTATTTATGTAGATATACATGAATCTATACATTCAGATGGTGTGACCATGGATCTTCGAAAACAGAGATCATCCCTGAGATGGGTAACGAGGGCCCCAGGGCATTTTGCCACATTGAGCCATTGGGGGATTCAGAATTCACCATTGGGGAAATTCAACCATTTGGGATTGACAATTTGTCACAATTTAACCATCAATCCGGGGGTAAGCCATTTAGAAATGAGGACTTTTTGAAGGATGGGATAGGCGGATAGGACGATGTTTTTATCATCAGGTCTTAAGATCCTTTTTTTTCGATAAACAATACCCATTGAGTTTCGTTTCCTTTATTAACCATGGGATGACACGATATTATAATATTGTTAATATATATATATATATATGTTAAATATATTGGTCCATGATGATGGATATATTAGTACAATATATTGTTGCATACTTTATATACTGTAGCCCAATATATTCAATGATTATTGGCTATTCAATGGATTCCCATTGATTGCCATTATCATCATTGAATGAGATGAGAAACCATGGGATATGGCAATCCCATATTATTGGATATATGATAATCTTATTATTATAGTATTATTATCATCACTTTGAGTTTGTTTTGTTATGTTTGTTGCCTAAAAAGAGTCCATGTCATCATCTTTGGATTCCCACCAGGGGATCCCACAAATCTCATGGCAGGTGCCTTTGTCTCCTGGTTGCCTTGGGCCTACGCCCACTGCGCCAAGCCGATGTACCGCCACTGGGGCGACGAGGTGGGTAACCATGGAGAACCAAAGAAAGCATTTATGGTCACTATATGGTTTATGTATATATATATGTATATAGATAGACACATCTATGGTTTAGTCACCATATCATATAGTAAACATTTTATGTATTTCAATATTTATAGTGCTGTAGAAACTATATATGTTTACTATAGCCAGATGACACTGACAACCAAATATTTACTATAGACCATATTTTACTATAGGACTGACAACGTCGTAGCTAAGTTTTTAAACCTATTCAAAGACCAGTTATAAAGATGGTGATTTTCCTCCAGTTCGCAATGTTAGTTTGCCAGAGGCTATTCCAATGATTTGGAGTTATATATGGCTCATATTCTCCAATCATGGTTGATTTATAGGGGTAATACCCCCCAAAGAGGCATATGAAAATCATCTATTAAAAGTTTTTTTCAAGCATCAATCAATCTGGGGGTTTCTAAAAACTGGGGGATCCCCCTTTTGGATAGTTTATACTGGAGATCCTACAATGTGAGGCCCCCCAGTTATAAGTTGGTTTAGATTCACCCCAGTAACTATAGTTACAAATACCATAAACCATAGTTATTGGAGTTATGTTCACCAACTTAGCTATCGAACGGGGGCCTCACATTGTATGAACATGGATGATTTTCGGTTTACGAACCGCAAGGAAACCTCCAGATGTAACAGAGCCACAGGTCAGTTCACCTTGGTTTTGTCTTGGTTGATCCTAGCCCCAAAGAAACGATTTGAAGATGTTTTTTTACCGTTTTTCATGTTCACATATTTTTGGGAGCTCTCAAATTCATCAACATTTTTCGTCATATGGTTGATATTTTTGATGATTTTGGGAGCCATATCAAACCATCTGACGAAAATCAATGGTCATATCAATGGTTGATTAATTTTCATTAATTTTCTTGTTTTGATTTTTGATGATTTTGACCAAAATAACCATCCCAAAGATGATGATGACCTGGTTGATTCAAAGATTGATATCTTGACCAGGTCAACCAGGGTTTATCCTGCCAGGCGCTTTGATTTCTCCTGTCTTGTCCTTGGCTCGAGGTGCCCATCCCTGGTGCCGTTCAACATTTCTGGAGGTTTCCTGAAATGGGGCTATCCCCATATCATCTATTTCAACAGGATTTTCCAGTAGAAACATGTAGAAACCATCCATTTTTGGGTATCCCTTAATTTTTGGAAACCCCCAAACAGATTGCAATTGTTCGATGGGTAAATACTGATTATCCGATTCACATTCCATTGTTTGGCGTTAAAATCCACGATTAATGTTTGGTGTATCATGGTGTATCTCCGTTTTTGCTGGTTATATCAGCTACATCCCATCCCAAACCCATCAAATCCCATGTACAATCCAATAGATCGTATCTTTGCTGGCGATACACTGGCGATACTGCGACTGTATACATATACCGTATACCCCACACAAATCCGATGAAAATCCGATGAACATATTATGAACCATCCCATTTGAATATCATTTGAATATCATAAGATCCAATTTTAACTATTCAAATCCCATAAAATCATATAAAATCCCACTGAAGCCCGTTCCAGATCCCAGATCCCGTTCCGTTTCTCTTGGTTACCAGGTCCCAGCTCTCCGCCGGCGGGTGCCCCTGCATGGACACAGGAGCTCGGCCGCTTTCCAGGCTGGATGGTTAGGTATACCCCTAGAGCTTTTCCCAGAGGAAAAAACCTATAAAATGGTAATTGTTTTTTTTGTTCACCTTCTGGGATTGGATGGGATGGGTTTACTAGATTTTACTAGGAATTCACCCTGAAACATGAGAATTCATGAGAATTCATGGGGATTTTGGGGCATCGAATGGCGGGATGATGGTGGAACCAGCCCGGAAGTCCCATGACATAGAAGTGGATGCACATGCATTCCAACAGCTTTTAGATATGCCCAGGTGTAGCTTGGGAGATCTTCGTCCACTCAAGTGATGTGAGATGGACTCTGGAACAGATGGACTCTGGAACATTTTGCCCAGTTGCAGTGTCATGATGTGATTCTTTTGGTCATCTAAGGTGGCTCAGGATTCACCTTCTGTAGATGTCTTTTTCGGTGATTTTCGGGGATTTTCATGGCAACACCATCGTTGTCCATGGCTTCACGGCTGGCAAAAAAGCGGGCAGTCTTTGGACGCCCAAAAAACCACAGCGCCACAGGCCTCTTCGAGGACTTTGAAGTTCGGGGACTCGACTGGGGAACGGAAATGCAGGTTTGCTGGTTGTTTTTGATAGTACAATAGTACAGGTCAAGCAAGAAATATAGATAAATATAGATTTAATATAGTATGACCATGTATGACCTGAGCCACCTCTTTTTTTTTTTGCCATTGAAAAACGTTAGTTTTTTCGCCATGTCGACACAGCCTATAGTTTTTGGTCGTTTCGGATCATCCCAAGTGCCGGTGCATCGTGAGGGTCCAAGCATAAGTTGGAAGCCGGTCGCAACGTCTACGGAAGGTGTCTTGGGTTGACCCTTTCCCGTGTGTATCTGGTTGGTGGTTTCAAACATTTTTTATTTTCCATATATTGGGGATAATCATCCCAACTAACTAATATTTTTCAGAGGGGGTGAAACCACCAACCAGGTAAGATGTTTTAGAGTTGGTGCAGTGTCTTCTGGACAAAAAAAATGCGCCTCATTTTTTTTGGAATAGGCTAGGAGAAGCAAGATACATCATGTTGATATGGCTCTGGTGACTCGGTGACCCAAATTTTAACATCCGGGAAACGATGGATCCAGTGTACCAATTCATCCAAGTTTTTGGGTAAGCACCAAGAGAGAGCCTGATCTCGGTTGCCATACTTTCTGCATTGCCATTTGGAGATAAACTTTCAGGAGTTCTATTTTGATTTCTACCATTCGGTTTAGACTTTAGAGTCTTTAGAGTATAAGTTGAGGTATTGAACAAATATTCCGATTCTGATTGTTGATCTCTGGATATCGTAATGGTTTTTTCACCACATCAATTTTATATCTTCGGGTTTGATCCATACCATAGCCGTTAATATAGCCATTATGGTCTGCCAGGTGATCGTTTGAAGTATCCCTCCTGGTTGACAGGGAGCTGGAAGGCCGGATGAAGGTGAAGCCGGTAATGACCTGGTGAGTTTGCGAACTTGAACATGGCCATAGAAATAGTTGATTTGCCTTTTAAAAAATGGTGGATCTTTCCAGTTCGCTATTGGTGAGTTTACCAGAGTGTATCCATGGTTTAGTAGTGATTGCTAGTCCATATTCAACCATCAATAACTCCATTTATAGTTGTTTTGCCTGTTAAAAAATGGTGGATCTTTCCAGTTCGCTATGTGAGTTTACCAGAGTGTACTATCCCATGTGTTTTTTGTCTCAGTACTTCCAATTTTATAGAATGGGCTAGCGCCCTGGTGCCGCCGACCCCCTATTTGGGGGGTCCTGTAGAGAGAGGGAGAGAGAGAGAGAGAGAGAGAAAGAAAGAAAGAAAGAAAGAAAGAAAGAAAGAAAGAAAGAAAGAAAGAAAGAAAGAAAGAAAGAAAGAAAGAAAGAAAGAAAGATAGATAGATAGATAGATCGATACATAGAGAGATAGATAGATACAGAGAGAGAGAGATAGATAGATAGATAGATCGATAGATAGATAGATAGACAGATAGATAGACAGATAGACAGATAGACAGATAGACAGATAGACAGACAGATAGACAGATAGACAGATAGACAGATAGACAGACAGACAGAGAGACAGAGAGACAGACAGACAGACAGACAGATAGATAGATAGATCGATGGATAGATAGATAGATAGATAGATAAATAGATAGACAGACAGATAGATAGATAGATAGATAGATAGATCGATAGAATACACCCATGTTACACCCATCGGAGCACCGTAGATCCATCGGAGCACCGTAGATTTTGGCGCTTCTTTAGGGATCGACCCAGACCATGTTAGATATTTGATAATGATATGTGTAGATTCTGTTTTCGAGACTCACAGATCTAAATTCTCCATTCCTTCGCACATTGGAGAGCTGCTCGGACGGAGAACCACCTCAAGGTCTGAGGCAAACCTACGAGGACCACACAGATGAAGAGAGGTCAGAATACATTGTATATAGTAACCCCCAGAAAAATAGAGAAATACAGTATATGAATTCCGGTGGCACATTGTTTTCTATTTGCTTTGAAGGTTTATACTCATACTTTTAAGGTTTTTAAGGGTTTGAAGGGTTTGGAGGGTTTTAAGGGTTTAAGGGCTGGCAAACGGCAGGCTTGGACGCCCATAAGAAGCCATTGATGTGTGGCCTTGGGGTGCCTGTTGGCTGCAGGATGAAGCATGCCAAGGGATTGTTTAAGCGGCCAATAAGAAGCCATTGATGTGTGGCCTTGGGGTGGCTGTTGGCTGCAGGATGAAGCATGCCACGTAAGCGTTTTAAGGGTTTTAAGGGTTTTAAGCGTTTGGAGGGTTTTAAGGGTTTAAGGGCTGGCAAACGGCAGGCTTGGACGCCCATAAGAAGCCATTGATGTGTGGCCTTGGGGTGCTTGTTGGCTGCAGGATGAAGCATGCCAAGGGATTGTTTAAGCGGCCCATAAGAACCCATTGATGTGTGGCCTCGGGGTGGCTGTTGGCTGCAGGATGAAGCATGCCAAGTCAGCGTTTTGAGGGTTTTAAGGTTTTTAAGGGTTTGGAGGGTTTGGAGGGCTTTAAGGGTTTAAGGGCTGGCAAACGGCAGACTTGGACGCCCATAAGAAGCCATTGATGTGTGGCCTCGGGGTGGCTGTTGGCTGCAGAGTGGCCATAAGAAGCCATTGGTGTGTGGCCTCGGGGTGGCTGTTGGCTGCAGGATGAAGCATGCCAAGTCAACGTTTTAAGGGTTTTAAGGTTTTTAAGGGTTTGGAGGGTTTTAAGGGTTTAAGGGCTGGCAAACGGCAGACTTGGACGCCCATAAGAAGCCATTGATGTGTGGCCTCGGGGTGGCTGTTGGCTGCAGGATGAAGCATGCCAAGTCAGCGTTTTAAGGGTTTTAAGGTTTTTAAGATTTTTTAAGGGTTTGGAGGGTTTGGAGGGTTTAAGGGCTGGCAAACGGCAGGCTTGGACGCCCATAAGAAGCCATTGATGTGTGGCCTTGGGGTGCCTGTTGGCTGCAGGATGAAGCATGCCAAGGGATTGTTTCAGCGGCCCATAAGAAGCCATTGATGTGTGGCCTCGGGGTGGCTGTTGGCTGCAGGATGAAGCATGCCAAGTCAGCGTTTTAAGGGTTTTAAGGTTTTTAAGATTTTTTAAGGGTTTGGAGGGTTTGGAGGGTTTAAGGGCTGGCAAACGGCAGGCTTGGACGCCCATAAGAAGCGATTGATGTGTGGCCTTGGGGTGCCTGTTGGCTGCAGGATGAAGCATGCCAAAGGATTGTTTAAGCGGCCCATAAGAAGCCATT